AAATGTGTTTTTTTTTCTTATTTATTTTTTATCCTATTTATTAATTATTAATTAAATAAAATATTAACGATTGACAAAAAAATAAAATTTTTTAAAAATTTGGATGTTTTAAAATTAATATTATTTGATTCTTGAAAATGACCAGTTTTTTTTTAATTTGAACAATGAGGAAAAAAACTGTTTATAGAATTTTAGAATTGCATTTAGGGTTTATATTCTTTTATATAATTTTTTTTTTTCTTGAATCATTTTGGTATTCTTATCCGAGTATATCTATTAGTAATAGGCTGTTGTCCTCGAATGTATGTTGTCTCACGCATAATGATAAATTCTGCAAAAAAAAAAAGATAAATTTCTATGCATTCAGTGTGCAAAATGAATATTTTACCGCTTGGTAACGGCTTTTTGTGTATATAGTTCTCGTTTATTTTATTTTTTACAAGGTTAAGCTTGCAACTGAAAAATGCTTCAAATGTATGATTTTTTTTACAATTTTTGCATAATTTCTATCTTTAAAAAAAAGGAGTAAAACTTGTTTTTCTTACAGCATATGTTTCGGTGAACCTTTAAAAAAAATTTTTTTGTACACTCGCTGTTATTAAGTAAACGGATTATGAACTCAGAATGTTGCTTAAATTATGTAACACACACAGTACAGTGTCATTGCGATTGTAATTAAGAGAGTACACGAGAAAGATCCAAGGCTGCTGAGACAAGCGTTAATGAAAATGCCGTACATAGTTCCATGAAGCTTTGCAAATACAACATGTAACATCGACATAAATTAATCACTATGAAACAAGAATGTAACGATGCTATTTATATTTATATTTATTTTTTTTTATGTCAATTTCCATATTATTATTCATCGTTTGTAGAAGAAGTGAAAGTCGCAAATGATTCTGGATATTGTAGAGGTTAAATAATAATAATTATTATTGTTGAATAATTAAATATTAGTTTTAATTTTTAGATTGAGAATTATTTTTCTTCTTTATGATGAGATTTATATAGGTGGCAGTGCCTGTCCTTCGATCTCGATCGATTACGAAACCGAGGCTCGATCTCTTGTCAAGTTAGAGATGCATATGTATGCCCACACGTTTCCAGTTACCTGATGGTCGAATGTGCGGTAACCGTGAATTAAATTGCGGAAATCGCTTTTAAAAAAGCCTGTAATGCAGATAATCATTGATGAGTAAATCATGGACACACGCAAGGCTAGTAACAAACACTATGTATGTACTCTCATAGTGCGCTTTGAGAAATTTTAGTGTTTCCTTTCTCACATAAAAGAAAAAAAAATTGCTGTATCTTCATTCCACACAATATTTCAAATATAAAAATATTGCTGTGGATTTCTTTATCTCTCTCTCTCTTCACCTCGTGTCGTGAAAATTTTCTCTAAAAGTGCTTTTTGACGTTGTATGGCTTTTCTATTATTAGTGCTTTTCTGTGAAACATAAACTGTTTAAAAACATTTTTATCGATGATGGCTAGAGGAAGAAATATAAAAATGAGATAAATGTGCTTTATTGGTGAAAATTGTAATTAGGTGCAAGTGTTTATTTGAAAGTTTAATGGAATCAAGGAATGAATTATTTAAATGCACTAATGGGCAATTTTCTTCAGCAATGAAAGTATGTCTGACATATGATCTAGATTTTATATGATAGAGTTGTAACGTGAAATCTTGGCGCCTCGACACTTTCTTAATTACAATAGCTCTAAAGAGTGTGTGTCATGAAAATTTCTTGTTATGATGCATATTATTTATTATCAACCATATATATGTGACATCAAGTTAGTTATATAAAAATCAAGTTAGTATTAAAAACTAGAAGTTGACTTTTATGAAAATTTATTACTTTAGTTCAATGGTAGATAATTCCAAGTACTTATATTTTGAGAACAAATATATATATAAATATATATATGAAAAACAAGATTATAAGAAAGAATTGGCCGAATAATCTGCACAAAAGTTAATTCCATATTTTGGTATTTTTTAATTGAAATATAATATTTTTTAAAAAGTGTTTCAATGAAATTGTGAGCAATTTTATTTTTGTTACTTTGAACAATTAAAAGTTTCTATTGGATAAAGATTAAAAATTTTTGACATGTAAAAAACGATTCCGATAATAAGCTAAAAATTTATTTATCATTTTTTAATTTCGGAAATTTTCAATCACTAGCGAAAGGGAATTTTTAATGGCAAAAATAAAATTGTTCACACTTTCACTAAAACACTTATTAATTATTATAAACAAGGTTGCCACAAGTGCCTGGAAAATCTCAATTTAAGATAAATGGTTAAAATTAAAAATTAAACGATGTTGAAGTACGCAACGTTTATGGTCAACGATTAGAAATCAATTTTTATTTAACACGGAAAATTATAAAATTGTTTACCTACCTAAAAAAATATTTTTTTTTATAATTTATTGATTAATAAAAACTGCAAGAAATATTTTTTTAGGCAAAAAATTATAGAATTTTTCATTTTAAAAAATTATTTTTTTTTTAAATCGTTTATTCTAAACGTTGCGTACTTCAGTTTCGTAAAATTAAGAGGAAAAATTCAAATCCAAAGAATTAAATGTGATGTAAAAAAAATTTTTCATCGTTAAAATTCACTCGAATTCATACAATAATTATCTTACTAAATTTTTGAAAATGTATCAAAATAATTGAATTTTTGAAAATTAATAGGTTCTATTTTTAAAATAATTGAATTTCAGGCGATTTTAAATTGAAATTTTTTGTCCTGAATTTTTTTAATAAAATATAAATTTCTGACAATAATTTAATTATAGAAAATTTTTTATTACAAACATTTTTAAATAATTAAATTTTTGAAATACTATTAAAATTATTAATCATTATTGATTTACCTCCTAATAATTTTAGATGAATTTTTTAAATACTTAAATTTTTGAATAGTTTTTACAAATTTTTAATACATAATAATTTTTGAGTTTTGGAGAATTTTTAATTAAATTTTTTTTACAAATAATTGAAATTTCAATGAATTTTTGTTAAAATTTGTTTAATTAATTAAAATTTCAAAGTTTAGTAGTTAAATTTTTTGTTAATAATTAAATTTTAAAAGATCTTTAATTGACAATTTTGGAAAATATTTAAAAACATAAAAAACTTTATTGGATAGGTACAAATTTTTTATTTAAAAATTTAATTTCGTGATTTAGAAATAATTGTTATCTCGTTATATGCGTTAAAAAACAATAATTTTAATTTGTTAATTCCTTAAATTATTAAAATTTATTAAAATTTTTGAATAATAACAATATTGAAAGAATTGCAGTTTAAAAGTTTTGACTTTTTTTTCTATATTTTTAGAAGATTTTAAACTAAAAATTTCCAAAATAATTTAATTATCGAAAAATTTTTTAAAAATTATGAAATAATTACATTTTTTTAAAAATAATAATAAAAGAATTATAAGTAATTAAAATTTGGTAAAATTTGATTGGAAGCTTTGAAAATAATTGAATTTTTAAAAAGAATTTCATTAAAACTTTTGAAAATAAATTAAATAAATAGAGTAAATAATTTTTTTTAAGAATTTGAATTGTTCTTTATCACAATGTTTGTTTGGCATACCTAATTTTCATTTATCACAATTTTTTGAAATAGAATTCACATTTGATAGAAACGAAGAAAATTCGAAAATGTCATGGAAAATTATAAAGAAATTTTTATTGCAACCCTGATAAATTGATGTTTGATTTACAGAAAATAAGAAAATATAGAGTTGGACTAATTTTTGATTTGTCTGGTTTATTCCATAGCCTTATGAACTGAATTTCGACTTTACCAATTTTTTCTTTGCTTTTTATATTAATTTAATTAATTAATTATATTAAAACGACAATTCACAGTTGTTGTACAGTAATAGAAATTGCATTTCGTTAACTGTAGAAAATTCGTTAAATTGTTAAAACAACAACAACAACAACAGGTTTCAAGCAAAAATAAAATATGTAACGTGATTGTATAACGGCACTCAAGACAGCAGCATCTCTTTTAGATGACAAAGATGAGATCATTTCTTTTATGCACTTTCTCTCAACTGAACTGATGTTGAGCTACTGCTACTATTCCATTAGTATATATATAGTATTATTATTAACGATGAGAGAGATATTTGAAGTCTCTTTAAGAAAAGAAAGATGGGTTCTTTGAATTTGCACTATAGAGCAGAGTATATAGAGAATCGCATTACTTGAACCAGCATCTTTTTAAAAGAAAATCTTCACTTTATCTTTAAGTCAATATTCAGTATGGATCTTCGAACAAGAACAATAACGTTTTCCCCTGATGGGATTTAAAATCGTTTACAGAATTCAGTGAAGCGTTTAAACGTGAATTTACTTTCTTTCTCACAAAAATATAAATTCTATTTAGTAATTTTTTTTGTATTAAATTTATATTTTATTAGATGCTAAATATCAGACAATTGATAGATGTTTTCAAACATTTAATAAATTATTATTATTCAATAATATAATGAAAAGTGAATTAATAAAAAGTAAATAAATAATATTAAAATTAAATATTTATTATAATTTACTGAAATAGAAAAATAGTTTCTAATTTTATCTTTGATGTATTACATCGTTTGTTTACGAAATAAATTACCTTTTAATTAATCCTTATTGTGAAAGAATAAATTATGTAATATATTCCATTATTTGTCTTGATATTTGGATACTAATTAGTTTACTATGTGAAGAGAAAAAAAAAATTACTACATGAAGAATAAATATCATGTGAAAAAGAAACTACCATGGGAAACTAAATTTAGAAAAGTAAAATTAAATTTAAAATAATTATTAAGTTTTTAGATTACAGTTATTTTAATATAATTTTAGTACATATGAAATTGTTTTTTTTTCAAATAGAAAACATATTTTAATTAGTGTAAGAAATTTTGAATTTGAATTTTAAAAAACGAATTTTAATTTTTATTGCAGGCCAAGCCCAGGTGGCGTCGGTGACAACGGTGTTCAGGGTGTGCGAGGCAAAGGTTTACCACACGTGATTTATTGTCGTCTGTGGCGTTGGCCGGATTTACAGTCGCATCACGAGCTCAGGGCCATTGAACACTGCGAATACGCCTTTACGCAAAAGAGAGACGAAGTCTGCGTAAACCCTTATCACTATCAGCGCATTCAAACGCCAGGTACACAAGAGAGCAGAGATATGATAAATGTTGAAGACTTAACACTATTGAGAGTGAGAGAGAGAGAGAGAGAAAGAGATGAGAGCGCGGTGCAAAGAAAAATAAATCCTTGACCTTCGTTGCCTAAGTCCCACTTTACTGAGAGCTCAATGTATAACTTGCATTTTGAAACGGCGCGTTCCACTTTGCCTATGTGGTCGAAGCATTCTGTCAGAACGATGCATTTAACATGAAGCTCTTGGTAATATTGCACACGTATTTATAAACCAGTTATGGACATTGTTTGTGAATCATTATTACAATTTATTTGTTTATTTTCTTCAATGTGTAAAGAAAAAAAAAAAAAAAGAAAGAACTGATTCACTTTGTTGTAAATCATGTCCGTAGATTAAGGTGAAGTATTTTCTATATTAGAATCATTCTTTTATTTTTTTATTCCAATTATCATTTTCTCCTTTTTTTTCTTCATTTAATTCTTTTTTTTCCTATGAATTATTGATATTTAGTATAGAAAGAGGAAAAAAAACAACACGTTCCTCTCGCGTGCTTGATAGTAAGATAAGAATAAAACAGGAAACTGGGTGTTAATTTGTAATTTATGTTATTACAGTTTTACCAGCCATTTTGGTCCCAAGGCATAATCTTTCTGGGGAGGAATCTGTTCTCTATAATACCTCACTTGAGGAGCTAAGCGTGAGTGTGCCGGAGAATACTAGCTTTCACGCAACACTAAATCATCAGCATCACAATCAACAGGGAATCCCTCAATCCCCACAACAGCAACAACCAAATAATCCATACCAAGGAATGCAGGTACTTTTGTTGATCACTTTTTTCCTTGAGTAGTCGATTCTTTAATGTTGATAATTTTATAAATTTTTATTAAAAAAAAAAAAAAAAAAAAAAAAAAAAAATAGTACTGAAAAGTACTGAAATATATTTTTAAAAACATGGAAAAAATCTATTATTACTTTATTTAAATATTAAAAAAACAAGCTTTCTACAGAAGCTGAAAATCATGAAAAAGTTCTGGAATTTTTAAAGTTTTTCAAAAATTTTCTAGTACAAATAATTTTTTAGACTAAAAAAAAAAATGTAAATATAATTATTTTCTGAAAGCTGATGAAATTCTGAAAAAATGGTGTCTAAACGAAAAGATTATGTTCAACACTAAAAAAAAAAAGAATTTAAAATATAATACGCCAATTTTTGCTTTTTACTTAGTTTAAAAACGCATATATTATTTTGACGCAAAATTTTTCATAACAATTGTTATATTATACAATTGGCGATAATATTGTTTTGTAAAATGATTAGAATTCAAAATGTTATTTTGTACAATTGAAAATAACAAATTAATTTATTCTTAAAATTAAAAATATAACAATAGTACAAAATAACATTTTGGATTTTAATATTTTTACAAACTAACATCATTGGTTATACAATATAACAATTGTTACGAAAATTTTTGTGCTAAAATAAAATAAAATAAAATAAATAAATATAAAAATAAAATAATATAAATAATATAAATATATAAATAAATATATATATTTATATATTTATATTAAAGCAAAATTAACATAATGAGAAATAAATAATATCTCTTTACGTAAACGTTCATTTTCCTAATTTCATGATTGAAATTCTATTTTAACTTAATTTTGCATTCATCAATTTTCCAACACTCTGATTTGCAATTACATACAAAATTATTTCTTTAAAAATCGTTTATATAAACGTTGCGCACTTCAGCTTCGTATTACAAATGAATTTATATAATTTTGAAAAGACAATTATTATTAACCACAATCGATTCGTAACAGAAGTTTTCTTTATTAATATATGACAAAAATATATATCCCTTCTCATTCTCAAGAAAACCCAACGTATTTATAATAATTTAGAACTTCTGTAAACGCAGTCGTTGATAAGCTTCCATGAAAAGCTTTTGAATACTTTAAGATGAAATCTAAATAAATAAAATTAAATATTGAAAAAAATAAAAAAGTACAATATAGTCATAATTTAAATGAAACATTAATTTAAAGTTAATTTACTCATAAATAAAGTAATCCAAATATTAATTTTATTTTACAATTGTTATCAAAATATGTGTTTTTGAAATGTTGATTTAAATTTTTTTTTTTTAATCAATAAATTTAATATTTAAATGTGGAAATTTGAATAATTATTTATTTAGAGCATGCAGGCAACGAGTCCAGCGAGTGTTGGCAGTCTTGGAAGTGTTCAGGGTTCGCCTCACCCTGCTCCAGGTTCGATGGATCCACCGGCAGATACGCCGCCTCCAGGTTACATAAGTGAAGATGGCGATAACATGGATCATAATGATAACATGTCTCTGTCACGTTTATCACCTAGTCCCGTCGATGCCCAACCAGTGATGTACTGTGAACCAGCTTTTTGGTACGTGTAAAAACGATAAAAAAAAAAAAAAAAAAATGTCGAACCTCTAAATATTTCTACTTTAAACATTTATACGAAGCACAAGAACAAAAATTCAAAATGTTTCAAAACAATTTTTATTTTTTAACATTTTTTTTATTTGAAAAAACCACTTTAATAATTAATATGAGGACTCATATTAATATGAGAATTAATTGTTATATTATCTATTTTTTAGGTGTTCCATAAGCTATTATGAATTAAATACACGAGTGGGTGAAACGTTTCATGCTTCTCAACCAAGTATAACTGTGGATGGTTTCACGGACCCAAGTAATTCGGAAAGATTTTGCTTGGGTCTATTGTCAAATGTTAACCGCAACACGGTCGTTGAACAAACTAGACGACACATCGGTAAAGGTGTCAGATTATATTACATTGGCGGAGAAGTTTTTGCCGAATGCCTCTCAGATTCGAGTATCTTCGTTCAAAGTCCCAATTGCAATCAACGTTATGGCTGGCATCCAGCTACTGTCTGCAAAATACCACCTGGTACCAAATTCTATTATTACAATAATCTTTTTGACAATTCCACAATTTTTTTCTTTTTATAATTCATTTTCTCGTAAATTAACAAATTAATTGCACTCAATTCCCTGCCTTTTTCATGTACGTTTGAATCCATATCAATCAAGTTTGATATTAAAATTTCATTATCGTCCTTTGTCATTCTTCACATACTATATTCGAATCAACGAACACCAAGGACGAATTTTTTTTTTTTTATTTTTGTTATCAAATATTCCATGAAAACTTAATTAGTAAGGAAAAAATAGATTTTCTAGAAAAATCTTAAATTATCTTCTACTTTGAAAAAATAGTTATTACAAATTTTGATAGATTCTGCAACTTTGTTATTACACAAAGAATTTAAATCTGAAAAATTTTCGATGTCAAGAAAAATTTTTATTTACAATAATAATCTGGAAAACTATTAATTAACACATATTAAAAAATAGTGATTTTTAAATTAAAAACAATTTTATTATTAAGAAAAATAATGATAGAGATTTTTCTTATTTTATTTCAATTCCGATGCATAAAAATGTTTCTAAAAAAAAAATTTTTAATTTTGATTTTTTCAAAAAATATTTTACGTCCCAATAAATTACAAGTAATAATGCAGCTCAAGTGTTAATTTTTTTTTGAAAATAGAAACAAGAGTATTTCTATAAAACTTTTGTCAATATTTGAATTTCTAAAATATTTAAAACAAAATTTTAATTTTCTTTTACGCTTATTGTTATGTATGTAGGCCATAGAAAAGATTTTTTTTTTATAATTTAACAGAATTTCCATTCAGTTGAATATTTAAATACTTTTTTTTTTCATTTGATCGAAATTACAAATATCCGAAAAAACACCCGCTATAAATATTTCAATTCAAATTTTAAACTTGTCCAATCACATTTTTTTATAATAAAAATTTGATTATTTAATTTTAAAATTTGCGCTGCAATGATCATGAACGGTGTTTATTCAGTTGCAATTTCGTTCAAATGAAAATTCGATGATTTAATGATTTTTTTCGAATAACAGTTTGGACAAATAAAGAATGGATGAGATGACTATTCTGCTATTTCAAAATTCGAATATGTAGAAATGTTGTTAAATAAGAATTCTTTTAAATAAAAATATTCTCTGGGATGAAAATTAGCTGAAATGTAAGTTCTGTTACATTTGAACTCAGTTAAATTGAAATATTGTTAAATGAATATTTTAATGAGTAGAAATTCGATGAAAGAACAATTCTGCTAAATTAAAGTTATTTTTTTTTTAAATTTTGCTAAATATAAATTTTTTTGAATGGAAATTCGAAGAATTTTACATTATTTGAAATAAAAATTCGATGAATCTGCTATTAAAACATTCAGTTAAATATAGAAATTCTGTTAAATATAAATTTAGTTAAATAAAAATTAGATAATTTGGAATTAGAAGTATTCATGCGTTACTAATAAAAAATTAATTTCTGCATTATTTTTGACGATAATATTGTTTTATATAAAATAGTAATGACGAAAAATTTTATTTTTTATTATTAGAATAAATTTCTGAAGAGGGAATCGGTTTATTTATTTTTATCCGGTGAACATTATATACATAGAAGACAATTTTTGTTATTTTATTTAAATTTTATATATCAAAAAATAGAAATGTCCAGTATTCCTAAGTTTTCTATTATTTAAAAGCTATTAAACTTACTGTTAGTGTGTCATAAAAACTTTAAAAATAGGACAATCGATGCATTTTTCAACAATCTATAAATTGGTTATCATGTATAAAAACTTAAATGAAAATTTAATAGCAAAACTTTCTAAAAAGTCATATTTTTCTCAAAAATTTCCATTTCTAAAAAGTTCATAACATTTTAAATATAAGATCATAAAAAGTTTTCAAGTAAGTCAATCGATGCGTTTTTAAAGCGTCTACAATATACAGGGTTACCGCAGGTCAAGGAAGAATCATGGATTTTTAAAAAAAAATTTTACAACTACTGTGTAATAGAGTATTAAAAACATCTGATGTTTTTTTTAAGAAATTTTTTGTGATTTAGAAATTATTAGATACAATCTTAAAATATAGATTCAATTTAAAAAAAAAAAAAAAAAAAAAAAATGAAATCTGTGAATTATAGTTTCAGTATGTTTTTTTTTCATTGCAGGCTGTAATCTGAAAATCTTCAATAATCAAGAGTTTGCTGCTCTACTTTCGCAATCAGTTTCCCAGGGTTTCGAAGCTGTTTATCAACTAACTCGAATGTGCACGATTAGAATGAGTTTTGTAAAGGGTTGGGGTGCTGAATATCGTCGACAAACCGTGACTTCAACGCCTTGCTGGATCGAGCTGCATTTAAACGGACCGCTTCAGTGGCTCGACAGGGTACTCACGCAAATGGGCTCTCCTCGTTTGCCCTGCTCCTCGATGTCTTAAGTATCCTTTATATTCTCAGAGAGAATAAAGTGCGTGTAACACAAAAATTTCTGAGAAACGAAACGATCTCTAGCTCATTGGTCGATTTCCTCTGCCATGGCAAAAAACAGAAAAGTCCTCGTTAATTAACAGGTATAAAGATTCGTACTTTGAGTGACTCAAAGAATACAAAACAATTAATTGCCACACACTACTCTTTCAAAATAATTCATTATTTTCTCGTTATAATGAATTTTAAATTTTACTTATTGAAATTAAATTTCAATTTTTATTCAATTATCCGAATTTCAAATTTGGAAATGGTCTTTTTAATTCGATGAGAAACTAATTATCGCATAATAATGCGTATCATAGAATTGTATCATAGAACACAACGTCAGTCAGGGTGATTTGAAACGATGAGCTGATAAATTTTTAAATCATATAATATAATGCATGTTAAATATATCAGATTACGATGAAAATTAGAATTTTACGTATACACGATATATCAAACTGCGCATTATCGACGTACGGCGCAACGTCGAAACTTGACGGGTCACGCAACAAGAGAACGTTACAAAAAAAAAATTATGATGACCATCAAAATTTAATTTTCCTTTTGTTTCAATAGAAATTATTATTATTATTATTAATATAAGAAACACGATTAACGAAAAAAATTTCCATTTTCTTCGCTTGTCACTCACGTGTGACATATAAGAATTTTACGAAATATTTAAAAGCAATATGAATTTTTATATAGAAAGTATAATATGCTTATTTTTTATCTAAAATGGAATAAGAAAAAAGAAGCAAGTGTTTCTTATTTAAATAATAATAATAATAATAAATCCCAATTAACTAAACGCGTGATATCGTATATTTTTACAAAAGACGGTACAAAAGTACGTCAGTCAATCTTAACGAATTATAAAAAGCAATTATTGTATGCCAATAAAATTTCAGAAGTTAAAAGGGAAAAACAAAAAAAAATGAAGGAACTTCTTTTTTAAAAAGCAAAAAAAAAGAAGATTCATTGCGCATTCAAATGACAAGAATAAGCTAAGGGAAACATTAACAAGTTCTCCAAATTTTTTTGGATGACAGGAAATATCGCTACGTATTATGGTGTCTTATCTTCACTAATAACTATTCTTACTAAATGTATGAATATTTACTTTTTGCTATCGATATGAATGCTACTTACAAGCAAAAACAGACGAACTAATCGAATATCTTATTTAATATCGGCATAAAAGAAAGCAAAAAGTTATATATTATATAAAATATATCGACGATTATTATAAAACGTTGCATATATGATATCGATTTAGAATGTCAAAGGCTAAAAAAAGAAAAGTTTACTTTTTTTTAAAAAACATTTTGAAACAACTTTGAATTTGACTAATTTTTGTTATTTTTTATTTCTTTTTTCCTTTGGTTTATGTCAAGTGAAAATGAAGTATTTGTTTTTATTGATTATCTTTTGTGAGCTGTTAAATATTGTTAATTTTAAAGTAATTTGAAAAGAAATTTTCAATTCACCGGTGATTATATTATTTTAATAATAATTGACTCATTTCCCTGTGAAAAGAATTTATTTTTTAAAACACACATTTTATTTATTGTTTTCTTCTTAAAGCGTGTGTCTCAAAAAGAAAATTCAAGATAAAAAAAAAGATGGGAGCGTATTTCAAAGAATATCATGTTACAATATTTAATAATAAGTATATGAAAAAAAAGTTTTTTAAAAATAGCATTGTCCAAAAAAAAAAGAGAGAAGAAAAATTTTGGAGGTTTACGAATAGCTTTGGAAAATTGTGATTTTCATCTTGAAAAATTTTTTCGATATTTTTTAAGCAGATGATTTTTATAAGTATTTAAAAGGGTGGGGGGGGGGAAAGGAAATTATACAATTAGTTGCCGTCGATATAAAAGAGAATTTTTAAATATCTGACAAGCCCTTTAAAAGTAAATTTTTTTATTTATTATAAAGCATGTTAGAGATTTCTATTTTATTATAAAAGTTTATTATTATATTTATCATTGGATGTCATTTTACGAAGTAAAACAAACTATAATTACGATTAATATTTTTAAATGTTAAAATATCGAATAATTGGTACACTAAGCGTACATTATATTCGAGTATTTATGAATCGCGTGATTTTTTAGGACATGTAGAAAAGATTGAATTTTTAATGATTGAAACTTGTGACTTTGTGTGCCTTTTATTTTATTCTTATTATTATTTTTGTTCATTTGAAGCAACGGTCACGTACTTCTCAAACGTCAAATGTATAGATCATACAAATATACTTTTTAGCTCATTGTCGATGATACGAGGAAATTGAACAAGTGAAAAATAAAGAAAATAATAAAACCCGAAACAGGAATATTTTGCTAATGAAACACAATTTTTTAAAGTCCATAGATTTTATCGATAGAGTGATACAATAACTGCGCATTACGATAATTGTGTTTTCATTTTCTGCATAATACTATATATATATTTCTTTCTCAATCTCGTTTTTACAAAAACAAAACAAATCCTTAGAGTTTGAGCAATTAAAGCGATACTACTTTTTGGATAGAATTCCCGTAGCACGAATAGTTACGATTTTTTTTTTTTTTTTTTTTTAATGCGAGATTACAGTCGTTGATTTATAGCTTTTTACAAAGTTCTATCTTGTCTTCTAGTTTCGTTATAATGTAATATCTGAGATTTTCGAGTACTCGAACGATTTACAGGCTCGATATATGCACAAATTTAAGGTGTCGCTAAAAGAAGAAAAAAAAAGGAAGCAATTTATGAATACTACTCTTGGATGATTTCTTTTTCAAAAAGAAAAATAAACTATTAATATGAAAATTAAAATGATATATTTTATTAACATTTATTATATTGGATAAAAGCGAAAGAAAAAAAAAAGTAACAACTCCCAGAGCAGTATTTAATGTTAAGCATAATGTACATCGGTTTAATTGTTATATGAATTTAATATTAGTGACGAAAACAAAATGTATACGTTTTTATTATTTGATAATCGATATATTTCGTTTTTCTTTTTTTATTTTTTAAATTGCTTACGTTTGAAGAGGAAAAAAGTGTGAAGAAAACTATTGTATGTAATATAAGTGAATCTTATTGGTAAAAATAATTCTCAAGAATTTTGAAAAATTCATGAAAATTGTAATAATCATTTTTTTTTTTTTTTTTTTTTTTTTTTTTTTTTTATAACAATTTCAGTTATTGCAATATTGGAATTATTTTCACCAAAAAGAGAATTTGTATAAAACGATGTTTGTGTAATGAACTTGCCAATTATAGAAATTTTCATCGGCGAATTGGAATTCACTAAGTGGCTCCGTCTGTTTTTTTTTCTTTTCTTCTATAAACAACGTTTGTTTGTTTTTTTTTTTGCAATAATTTTATCATATTCACAAGTCAGTAAGAGAGTGGTGAATGGTGATATTTTGATAAAATTTTGTCTTTTTGTACAAATTGAAAAGAAACAAAAAAAAATTGTTAACGAGATGTTTTTTTTTTTTTTAGTAACATCAATTTTTGATTGTACAAGCTATCAATTTTGCTGGGCAGGGCGTTTTCGTAGGATTAGATGAAAAAAAAAACTTCGCTAAAAACTTTTAGAGTAGCTGCGGGTTGGGCTTGCACGAGATACTCTCGGAAACTTAATGATTTTTTGTTTTGTATTTTTATTTGAAATTAAAGTGATTTCTTAAATAATTTTTTTTTAGAGAAATCACTTTTTGAAAAAAAAAGTCAATCGCTCGTGAAAATCCATCTCAAAATCGTCGGGCAGCTCGAATTCGACTGTGTTTTAATGAATAATAAATAAACAGAAAATAAACAAAAAAAAAAAAATTATCCTATGGAATTGACGCATCGCTCTGTCAAATATTATAATTGTCAGTAGCTTACCTTCGGGCAAACTGCCATTAGAAATACTGTTGCTCGAAATGGAGCAAAACCGATATAATTATTGTTGTACTGGTCGAGCCGATCTTTTTTAATCTACCACTGTAGGCCTCGATTTTTTACAAAAAATAATGCCACTGTGATAAAATACTTGTACTGCTTTTTATAAGCAAACCTTCTTACGTGTATTGTACTAAAAATGTTTAATCTCCTAAGATTCGGTGCACTGCGCAGATATCTCGAAAAAAAACAAAGAAATCCGTACTAAGAAATTAGACGTAATTTTCTCGAATTGAATTTTTTTTTTTTAAATGAACCAAAGGTTCCAGTGCGTTTACTTGCCAAAGCTTTGTATTAGTAATGCGATCATTAATTTTATGGAGGCAACTACAAAAATTCAAAATCTCATGAAGTTGTGTACAAAAAAAAAAAAAAAAAAATTTAGAGATTTATTGTTTGTAAAGTTAGATGATTATTTTGTTATTGGAGAATATTTGAAATAAAATTTTAAAGATAATTTTTAAAAATGAATTTTGAATTACAAATTTTTTTTTAGGTCAGATGCCTTCTTTAAAAATTGTCAATTTATTCTTAAAAAAAAAAAAGAAAAAAGAGAAAAAAGAAAACGAAATTGAAAAATGTGAATCGAGCAGCCCGCCGATCGCGGTGTAATTCAGAATATTATACTACACATTAAGCGAAAAAAAAAGGAATGAGAGTACGAAAGATTAGATAGCATGAAAGAAGAAAAAAAAATTCATGCGTGTGAGACTGTATAATAGTTATAAATAAATGTATATGTTAAGTCCAAACAAATTGTTTTTTATTATTATAATTTATGTCAAAATTTGTAATTTATACATATTTAGTGTTCTTTTTTTTTGTTTCAGGATTGATATACAAACTACGTTTGTACATTTATGATATATATATATATATATATTATAAACAGTAAAATCTGATGATTTCAGGGAATCATTGAAACGATAATTGTTGAAATGGATGAGAATAGATAAATATGAATTTAAAAACGTCCATTTTTTTATATCAAATAGGTATTCATTTTAATACTGGATAACAACTTTTTTTTTCTCAAAAATTTCATATAAATAGATATACATTGTCAAATATGTTGATGTTTCGTGATAACATGCAAAGGTAAGTTCATTATTTAACAATTCAATTTTTTTTACCGCATTAAATAGATTCATTAAGTTTCTCTCAAATTTTTAATTTTAATGATTCTAAATTAAATCAGTCTACATAATTTGCCTAATTTACATTTATTGAACAATCTGAACCACGTGCTAAATTCAATATAACTGAAATTAGCTGTATTACACAATTTGTGCATTACGGCTAAATGGCTAATTACTTTATACACAAATAAAATAAATGTAGTGAATATTATGTATTGCTTCACGTTTTTTTTACACAGTGGCAGTAAAAATTTGCGCAAATTAATGTAAATAATGTAACGCTTTGCTTATATATATTTTCGATTCCCCTTCGATCTTACACATATACACGTTACTTTATAATTTTCTTTTTTCAGGACACTGGCGTTTTTGTTTTCGGAAATAATTTAATAATTTCTTTTGAACACGTCCAGCCAAATTCCTTGGGTCATTCGAATCTTCGAAGATGTCGGAGTTGTTGTGTTGATTGCATTTGCTTTAAAGAAAACATGCTTAATGACAGACCCGCTGTAGCCAAAATGAATGCCGATGCAACACTTCCACGATCCACCCAGGATTTACGATAGATTGTAGTGGCTGCGTTCTGTAAAGTTTATTTAAACAGGTAAATTATGTTTTTTTCTTTTATTAAATATTAATTAATAAAGTTTCATAGAAAATTTTGGTTGATTTTTTTATTTTTTTAACATTTTTAATATGTAATTAAAAGTAACTTTTATTTTTTTTAAAGAAACTTTCAATAAAAAATTCCAATTTTTTGGAATCTTTTCCGAAGTGTCCGCGAAATTTCATTTTCAGAATTTCTTAACTTTTTCTATACTAATTATTATTCTTTCTCTCTGATTAACATGATTTTATTTAAAATCATGCTTTATGTATTTAAGATTTAATATTGGTTTTAATTAGTTTTTGTATATTACAATTTTATTTTATAAATGTAAATATCAAAATAATTTTAATTTGATTTAAGGAGGAATCAGAGGGACAGTCAAGTAAGGATTAGTTCAACTCTTATATTTTTTAAATAGAATATAATTTATAATTAAAAAGTGTTTTAGTGAAAGTATGAAAAATTTTTTAATTAAAAATTATATTCTATTCAAAAATACAAAACTATAGAGTTTTAATAACTATAAATAAGTTTCTTTGAAGAAAAATTATGATTTTTGAAATTTTTTTTTTAAATTCCTAACTCTTCCCTGATTTTTATTTTTTTTCTGAATTAAAGCCACTCTAGTTTCTCATATAGTAAGAAATTTTTAAACATTATCCAAATGCAACTTTTAATTATTAAAAGTGTTAAAAATAAAATTGCTCACATTTTCACATGAAAAAATGTTTAATTAAAAACTTTTTTTTAATTTAAAAATACAAAAATATGAAATTTAATAAACTTTTATTTTCGACTTAAAGGCACAAAAAAAGTCTTTTTAGTCGATTTATATTTAAAAAAAAGTCGATTTTTTTTTATTTTAACAAAAATATTTTACAGATTTTTAAATAAAATTATTTTTTAAATAATAATAATTTTGGAAGGTTTAAAGTTAAAATTTTTAGAAATAATTGAATTTCAAAAGATTTTTTTAATTTTCAAACAATAATTAAATTTTACAAAACTAAAAATAATTTATCAAACAATTTTAGATAATATTTTTTAATAAAATGTAATTGAATTTTCAAAGATTTGCAATTGAGATTTTTGAAATTAATTGAACTTCAAGTGATTTTTAATTAAATTTTATTTGATGATTTCACTAAAAAATTTATTAGAAATTGCGGACAAAAATACAACAATTTGAGAACCATTTTTAATTGCAAAATGGTTTCAGAAAGTTGAATTTTTAAAGAATATTATAAAAATAGTTAAAAATAATTGAATTACCGGAGAGTTATAATTGAAATTATTAAATTTCAAAAATTTTTCTATGGAAAATTTTAGAAGCTTTTAAATTCAAATTTTTGAAAATAATTGAATTTCAATTGAAATTTTAGACAATAATTCAATTTTAGTTGATTTTTGATTGAAAATTTTCATAATTATTAATTTTGAATTGAAATTTTTGAGAATAATTGAATTTTAGTTGATTTTGAATTGAAAATTTGAATAATAATTAAATTTTATTTGATTTCTGAATTGAAAATTTTTAAAATAATTGAATTTTCTTTGATTTTGAATTGAAATTTTGGATGATAATTTAATTTTAGTTGATATTTGATTGAAAATTTTGATAATAATTAATTTTGAATTGAAATTTAGGATAATAATTGAATTTTAGTTGATTTTGAATTGAAAATTTTTAAAATAATTGAATTTTATTTGATTTTGAATTAAAATTTTTTGGTAATTTTATTTGAAATTATTGAATTTGTGATGAATTTAATTAAAATTATTAAAAATAATTAAATTAGTGAAGAGTTTTAGTTAAAAATTTGTTAAATAATTGAAATAAAGAAGATCTGAAGAAGATCTGCATTTTATACTAAAAAAAAACGTATTTTATTAAAAAAAATTTTTTTTTAAATGTAAAAAAAGTCTAAAAAATCGCATTTTATTAAAATAAGTCAAAAGAAGATGAGCCAAAAGTTTTGAACGTTCAAATGAACGAAATTTTTTTTCAACTTCTTTAAGTACGAATTTTATTACAAAATATTGTTTTAAATATTTAAACGGAAGTTATTAATTTAATAATTGTTTGATTTACTGTTTTATTTTACATTGTCATTATAATTTTTAATAATTTAAACATTAAAAAAAAAATATTTCGTTCATTTGAACGTTCAAAACTTTTGGCTCATAAAAGAAGTCGTATTTTTGAAAAAAAGTCGGAAATAGTCAAAAAAAGTCGTATAATCCGAGGCCTGTTTTGACTGTCCATCCAATTGCTTTCATTAAAAAAAAATATGTAATATTTTGCAGGGATAAATTTTTATATTAACTCAAAATTTTATTCAGAGACAAGAAATTTAATTTAAAAAAGAAAATTAATTTCTTGAATTACATACCTGACTTAATGTCAGTTTAAGAGAATAAAGAAACGGCTGCGTTAGATGCATGTCGGCACCTAAGCTTTACGACGCCAGGTTGCACCCTAAAACAAATAAGAAACAATAAATAAAAAATAAAACAAGATTATATTTGTTTTTTTACCATTTAAGACTCGGCGGTAAAATATTAACAATATTAAAAAGTCAAAACAAGTTTTCTACGACTGAAAAATTAAAAATAATCAGATAAATAAGTGACGGTGTTGTCAAAACTCTGCTCATTTTAAAAAGCGCATAAACATGCACCTATATTTTCTTAATGAATATAAGTTATTAATAACAGTTTAGAACAATAATAATAATAATAATAATAATAATAATAATAATAAAAAGAAACATAATAAAAAAAATTAGAAAATTGAAGTAACCAAATTTTGTTTTGTTCATTTCCAGTAATAATTATTATTTTATTAATGATAACAGATTTCGCAAAAGTATGAAACTTGAAATAAAATCATGATTCTCGTTTACATAATAAATGCCAAGGAATATAAATTTGCAATTTAAATTAAATATTTCTCTCCTCACAAATATTAAAAGTACTTTGCAATTTATTTAAAAATATATTTATGTAATGCACTCTGACAAATAAAATTTTTTTAAACTAAAAAATAAACAAATATTTTATATAAAAATATTATCTAAAATAGATTTTGATAATTAATTTTTAATTTTTTAATCCGCAAAATAATTTTCTATTTCTTTGTTTATAATTATTAATTTTCTTGTAATTAAAATGTCAAATTAAACATTACCGGAATTGAATGAGTTTGTTATCCTCTCACGAGATATTCGTAAATACTAAACCTTAGAGGCGCTTGGCTGCAGGGTCAAGCTAATTCAGTATTCTTTGGCTATTTGCCACAAAGTGGGGTAGAAAAAGTTTTACACAACCAATCTAGTATAATAAACAATCGTTTGAATTGAATGAACTTTGGTATCAGCAATTTTGAATGTTCTATTACCGTCAATTAAATGTAAAAATTTTTTTCTTTACATTAAGTTTTTATTTATGTTTATTTTATTTAAATTTAATTGTAATAAAGAAAATTTTTTTTTTTAGTTGTCCTATTTTGGTTAAAATCTTTAAATTTCAAAAGAAACATAAATAATTCAAAAAATTTTGTTAGAAAAAAAATTATTTTTGGAAAACTTTCTTTATAAAAAAAATGAAATGCATCATAAAGGGCTGTTAAATTCCAGAGTTCATACCAATACACCGCAATTTGAAATCCCAATGACGCACGAACTGGATTTTTTAATTGAATGTTTACGCATTTGCTTTGTGTATATAAAGAAAATATCAGAGAAAGACTATTGGATAGGTGTAAGTTTTGAACTTTATAATAAAAAGTTTCAATCACTTCCATTGTATAATTTGAAATAAAATAAAAAATTATCATTTTTAAATAATTTGCAATTAAAAAAAATTTCCTTTTATTCGTTCGAAAGTGATAACTTATAGGTCTTTCTATTGTTTAAAAATTATTTTGCAAAAAATATTAAATAAACAAACATTCATTGAATAAAATTATTAAATAAAAGTTAACTTATAAAATAAATTTAAATTATATATTATAAAATCATATCTGTTTTTACTTTTTATATTTATACATTTAAATAATTATGGAAATTTTTTTAAAATTAAAATTCTACGATCAAAAAAAATTTTCATAATTATTAAATGTAATAATAAAATAATTTAAAAATATATTAATATAAATAAATATTTAAATAACATTTTTAAAAAGTATTTTTAGTAAAAAGGTAATTTTAAAAATTTCTAAATAAAACGAAATTTATATTACCGGATTCACTTTTTGTATATATCAGGTTTTAAGCAGAAAAATTCTTTATCACATTTATAACAAATTTCAAACTGGGAATTTAATCCAAAGTGCATATGAATAAAATTGTATGTGCAATTTAAAGGTTGCAGAAGATTATACTTATCGACGTAAATGTTCCTTTAAAAGGCGCATGTGCCAAGGGAAAATACATTGCGATGTCTTTTAAATTAAATCTCTCCGAAATATAGATATGTACAAAGTGCAAAAATATATCAAAAAAATATAATCAAGACAATGTCATTGTGATGATTTTAAAAACGTAGATCAATTAATTTTAAAGCATAAATTATTTTTCATTCATATTAAAATTCACAAAATATTTCTAGGGCACAAAAAAAACAGAAACATTTATTTTTAAAAACACTTTATAAATAATTTAAATCAAAGAAACATCTATTTTTTCGTGTCTATATTATTGCGTCTAGAATTGAAATATTAAATGAATTTTATGACATAAGTCACATAAGAAAATTGTCTGACATTTAGATTGTCTTTTTATTTATAGAAACAGTATACATATATCCTCTCGTATATATATATATATATATGATAAATGTTATTAAATTTTAGTTCAAAAACAACATTAAATTAAAAAATAATAACTGAATTGAATGCTCAGATTAGATAAATTGTTATTTAAGAAATTCCAGTAATATTTTAATTCCAATTATTTCGATTATCAAATGGAGCAATCAATTAATTAATTTTTTATATTTCATGCTAATTGTTTTAAAAATTTTTGTCTAACATGTTAAAATTATTTAAAGATTTTAAATGTTAAATTGAAGACTCGTGAAGTGAATAAACAGGTTTCAATTTAGTTATTTTGTTTATTTGGTGTAATATATATATATATATATATATATATATATATATATATATATATATATATATATATATTTATAATATATTCGTATTTATTATTACAAACGAAATGCGTCTAATGCAATATGGTAAATTAAAATATCTTCGAAATGGCGCCTCAATGATTCATAATATTTGGCGAATACTTGCAAAATATATACGCTTTTAGAGTTCATTAGCTTGCATAGCTAAATGCTTGATAATCTATTAATTATTGCTGCGCAAAGTACAAATCTCTATTGATATAGTTTATTAATTTATAATTTATATTCATTCAAACATAAATAATAATGAGAGATTTTGATTATAAAAATAAAATATTGCAAATATGATATAACAAATTTTTTTTTATTTTTCTTTAATTGTTTGACAAATTATAAAACTTCAAAAATCAAAATTCTTATACAACAAAAAAAATTTATTATAATATTTATATAATTTTTTCTCTCTCTACAAGATATAATTTTTATAGAAAACAATTTTTTTAACTACTTAAATTCTTTTAATTTATAACAATAATTTTATTCAATAAATGAAAATTGTTAATAAACACGGTTTACATAAAGGGAAAAAATTTTAATTAATTATATCAAATATTTACAGTTAAAAAATTACAAAATTGACAAGCAAAAAAAAAAAAAAATTCTCAGGAAAACGTCAGATTTACGTATTAAATAATTATATTATCAATTGAAACCAATAGATAAATAAATTAACAATTAATTCTTCACATTTCTTGACTTATCATTGAACTATTTAAAATTAACAACCTTGGCACACACTGATATTGAAAGGAAATATTAAATAAATCAACTCACCATTTTTTTATAACCTCAAAAAATTTTTAACATTTTTTTTTTTTAATTTAATTGAAATGCAACATAATACACTTTTCACACTTCATTAAAAGAAATTCACTTTTTAAGTAACAAAATTTAGTAATATAATGTAGGGGGTTACAATAAAATTATATAAAAATATAAATTTTCAAGGGCGGGCCGGTTTAGTTACGTAAGTTAGAGCAACTTTATAATTTTGTCATTTAACACAAAAAAAATGTTTTTTGAAAAACATAAAATTATGTAAACAACTTTTTTTTAACACTAACCTTTTATTAAAAAATAACTTAAAAATGGTAAAAAAAGAATGGCACAATGCCTCGTACCTATCTCTTCTTCCCTAAACGTGAACAACACGTTTTCGTTAAGGAACAATCGCGAAGAAAGGCAGAGTAAGCGCCCTCTAATTATAAATAATTATCGAAAGTGTAGGTTATGTTGATAAGAACGAGATTTTCTTAACCACTTCAATTATATGAATTAATAAATTTTACTTTTCGTACTTAAAATTGTAATATTAATAAAAATTGTGATTTAAAATTTTTATTTAAAAGAATTTATTTCAAATATTTTTAAACAAGTCGATAACATAGAACACTGTAGTGTCTGAAGAATGACATATTACTCAGCGAGTTACAGTCTAGATGGCACCATTGATCGTTTTTTTTTCAATTTTTGAGCGTTAAAAAATTATATTAAAAAGTTAAATAAAAATTAACACTTCGTTCAATGTACAAATATATTTTTAAAAATTTATATATAATAAATTATTCCAATCAATATTTTACTATAAAAAATGAAAAAAAAATAATTTTTACAATTTTTTTTATTTTTAATTTTCAAAAATGCGCAAAATGCTGCGCGCGGTGTTTAAATGTTTATTTAAACCTATAAAACTTATCGGCCGACTCTAAATTTTTTTGCAAAATCTTCTTAGTATTTGCAGGTATGTTTAAAAAAAATTTTTTTAAAATATCATATCCAAATTAAAAAAAACTTAATTTGTTTATAAAAAATTGTTAGTTTTTTAATAAAAAATGGAAAAAAAAATTTTTGTTAAAATTATTGGAAAAACTGGAACTTTTCTTCTCTTATCAAAAATTGAAAAAATCCATTTTTTTTCGAGTTATCAGCTATTGAAAATAGGTCTACATTGAAGAAACTGAAATTTTAAAAATTCATAACTCGAAAATTTTTCAAAAAAAAAAAAAAATAAATAAAAAAATACGTATCTCTTTTTTTTCACTACAGAACAAGAAAAAAATATATTTGGCCGAATTTAAAGGGTCGACGGAAATCTCACGTGATTTCGCCCATATATTATATTTTAAGGGGGGGAAAAAAATCCGAAATTACCAACAGAATATACAATGCGTAGGAACATTTACCATTTATTTCCTCACGGTAATAGGTATTCGTCTTAAAATTGAAGCTTATTAAAATTTATTTTGTTTTCACACGCGCAAGATAATTGCGCATATATAATAATCCTTTTCTTTTACAAATTACAAGATTTTCGAATTATATTTCCTCTTTTTCTTTTCGTCTTCTATAAATATAATTCTATACGCGCAGGATTTCTGGGAAAAAAAATCGTGAAATATTTACGCAAAGATATGAAGCTTATTATTATTATACTCTTTCTTCATTGGCGCCTAAACTGTCGTTTTAAATGTGTTCTGAACGAGAAAATTGCGTGTGCAAATGATGGAATTACTGGTCAGAAAAGGGTAGTCGCACAGACATTATACGATTGCTAAGAAAACCACCACAGGCACCTGCATAACTCCAGGTGAGAACTTGAAGATATACCGTGGTCGAGGTGATTGCGTTTGTGGCCTGAGTTGGTGTCGAGGAGAACAAAACAATATCTTTTATGTGCCATGCAAATATAATGAGAAACTCTTCAGAAAAGTAAATAGTCTCATGTTTTCTTCTGCTTAATTAATCCTCTCCGCCCGGAAGAATAATGCAGTCTTTTGGAAAACTATATTTTCTTCGAATATATATAGTTATTGTAATAATATGGGCACTTTATTTATTTTTATAATTACAGTAGGACTCCGGTTATTCGAGCTAATGTGGACCGGACCTACCTCGGATAAGGCGAAAACTCGGATAATCCGAATTGTTAAATATTTATTACAATTCAACATTATCATTGTTTAAACAATTATTATTTAATACAAACGGGAAAATAATATTGTAAATATTCCATAATAATTTAAACAATTTGAATTTATTAAAAATAAACTCTTATTTATAAAAAATTAAAAATAACTCGGATGACGCGGACTAGACTCGCAGAATGCAGAATTTATATATGCCCCACAGCACCGAAACTTTCCTGAAAATTTAGTAAATATTTACTTACAATATTTAGAATATTTAATTGCAATGTTTATTGAAAGTTATATATAAAGAGTTAAATGTCCCACTTGATTCAAGTGACTTGAATAAATTAATTAGTGTTGCCGCAAGACGAGACAAGACGAGATTCTGATCAATCTCGTCTCGTCTTGTAAAGTCGAGACGAATAATAAGTCTTGTCTCGAAAAAGTCTCGTCTTGATACATAGAGTCTCGTCTCGTCTTGAATGGTCTCGATATTTTTCAAAAAATAAAAATTATTGATTTTTTTATATATCACGGGTCGTTTGAACTATGTTCAACTCAAAGATTTTGTTACTTCTGGTTTTCTTGTTGAAAGTTATTCTCTAAGGCTTAAATAATAAAAAAAATTTTTTAAAAAAAAAATTTTTTTTAACTTTTTTCTTATTTAAACCTTAGAACAAGTTTGGAAACTTTTTTTAAAAAAATATTTTTTTAAAAACTTTTTTCTTATTATTTAAACCTTAGAGAATAATTTTCAGTAAGAAAACCAGAAGTAGCAGAACTTTTAGGTTAAGGGGGGAACACCAGTTGTAACTTTCGAAAAATCGATTTTTTTTTTGGTGCATTTTCTTAAAGTATACATATTTAGAAATGTGTCTGTAAATTTCAAAGTTGATCCGGTGAAAAATAAATGAGATATACAGAACACTGCAGCGGCGCGTCCCGTGGCTTCATACAAGGTGGCCAGCCATACCTGACCCTAACGACAGATGGCCTTTTCCTATGATTTAGAAACGGCAACCACTGCGGAAGAGTTATTATATGGTCCAGGAATCGATGACTCTTTGTAACTTAGAAACAAAATTTCTTCTGAACAAAAAAAAGTAAGTTGAAACTTTTAATGCGTTTTTCTCAAAATGACATTTTCCAAGTCGGTGACCACGATTACTCGAATACCATTAAACCGATTTATTTAAAATTTAGTGTGCTTCATTTACACATATAAGTCTAGTTCGTGATCGAAGGATTTTTTTTTTTAATCAAAACTTTTTTTTATATAGCTGAAAATCGACCGTATTTTTTTAACGAAAATCATACTTTTGACTTTGACAGGTCGCCATTTTGTCAAATTTTTTTTTTTTTTTAAATCCTTCGATCACGAACTAGATAATCTTATAATAAATGTAAATCAATTTCATTTTTGTATTTCAGACGAAGTATACTTGCAGAATGCTGGTCACCGCAATTCGCCTTTTTTCTTAAGACGCCACTTCAATGGCTCATATCTCCAAAAGTTTTTGTTAAAAAAATTTTTTTTTTCTTTTAAATTACAGCTTTTTACATGTACTTTTAACTAATAAATAGTATTCTTTAAAAAGATTCATTGTTCTTTTGGAAAATATTCTTGAAAAAAGCATTATTTTTTGAGTTACAACTGGTGTTCCCCCCTTAAACATAGTTCAAAAGACTCGTGATATGATGTATTAAACCTCAGATAACTGACTTAATATTTTGTCTGCATATTGTAAATAAAAACACTTATTCATATGTTCCATAAATTTTGATATGTTATATAGCAGAAAAATTTCAATTACAAATAAAAAATCGATTATGCTACTATATATTGCTATACGAATAATATAATAATTAGAGTTGTGCAAATGTCAAAAATTCGATTCTCTCCATAAGAATTAACATGGACTCGGTTCGGTTCGAATTTCGAGTCCATGTAAAATTTGAGTTATTGCACACCTCTAATAATAATGAATATTACAACCGAAACAGGCTAAGTAACAACAACATAGAATATCTTTTATGTTTGAACTCCTGGTTTTCTTCTTCTGTCTCTACTAAAATCAAAAATGAATTTAAAGAAAAGTAAAGAAATCTAAAATTTTTATAACAAATAGATTTCTATTATTTTAAATGTTCGTGTTTTTTAATAATGAAAAAATTTTATTACGTGTTCTCTATATTAATAATTATTTATTTGTGGAGAAATTAAAATTTATGAGAATTAAAGTATTCATTTACACTTAACAAAGTTATGCGTAATACTTATTTTTCTAGTAATCAGTTTATACTCGAGACTCTTGGTCTTGTCTTGATCTTATGACACAGTTGATCTCGTCTCGTCTTGAATAATCGAGACAAGATAAATGGTCCGTCTTGTCTTGGTCTTGTCACCTTTAGTCTCGTCTTGTCTCGAAAAGTCTTGAGTCTTGCGGCAACACTAAAATTAATGTTTAGCGCGAAACTTTCCTGAACATTTCGTCGGGTTAGTGGAAAACTATGCCATTTCAGAAAATATTTGTAAAACATGCCATTCCGCGTGAAGATGCCTATTCGTGAAAGCCGGTGTGTGAAACATGCCATCTCGGATGATATTTGAAAAACATGCCATTTCGGCTAAGAGTTTTTTTTCTTCTATTTTAAGTTGGTAATACTGACTCGAAATAAATAATAGGCATCTCTAAGAAGTTTTTTTTCGGATTTCTGCTATTCTTATTAAAAAATTTAATAATGAAAGCACTTTTTTCAAATTAATCAAATATCTAAAAATGCCAAAAGTTCGTCAGATTTCTTGTAATATTTTTTTGTTTTACTTTTTTTGCAAAATGTACTAGATAATACTTTTGTTTTCATGAATTAAAAATTAGACGTTAATAAAATGTGTATTGATTTATCAGTAATGTTTTGGTTTTCCAGGTTATTCTCAATATTCTCAGAAAAATTGCGAACATTTTGTGAAATGTCTAAATACAAAGCACTTGCACTTGGCGAATATAAATTTTCACCGAATCGAGGTTGAAGTGTTGAATAATGCCATAAATAATAATCGGCGTCCATTTAAATAGTCTAATTAATTTAAACTAATTAAAACCTAAATTTTTATTATTGACAGTAACTATAGCCTATATTCTCATTAATTAAATCGTCAATTTCTATTTCTGACAGACAGTATTTTGTTTCGATTAAATTTTAATATAGAAGCTAACCGACATAGTAAAAACCTAAAAAGGGTATACGTGAACAGATCAAAATAAAAAAAATAATAATATAGAAGCTAATATTTCATATAAAATGCACTACTTCACGCGTTTTTCAAATATTTTCTGAAATGGCATAGTTTTCCACTAACCCGACGATTTATTTAATCGGGACATTTAAATCTTTACACAATTTTCACTAAAATTTTTAATTAAATATTTCAAATATTGCAAGTAAATATTTACTAAATTTTTAAGAAAGTTTCAGTGCTGTGGGGGTGGCGAATACATAAACATAAAAGTAAGGTTAGGATTTGCATTGTGAATTTTTCTATGTTTTAAAGGTTAAGGTTAAATAATGCTGTTTGGACAATTGTCGAAGAAAAAAATTTTTATTATCGACAATTGCAATCTTTTTTTACAGCGGCGTAGCTGGGGTTAAACTTAGAAAAGTTTAGGTTAGAAAAGTTATTTATCATGACATATTTCTGTCAGTTATTTTCGAAACTTACACTGCAGAAGCAGAACAAGTATTACTTGTACAACCAACAAAATAATCACTATCCCAGATAGCACGGAAACTTGCAGCAACCTTGCAGCAACCTTTCCAGAAGCTTGTTGAAATTCTCCTGCAACCTTACGTAGCAAGCTTACAGCAAGCTTTCACGGCAAGCTTGCCCTGGGTGGGACATTTCGCTAGCTCAGACAAGCTTGCACGGTAAGCTTGCTGCAAGTTTCCGTGCTATCTGGGATGTAATTAATTAAATCTCATAGTGTATTCATAAGTTGGAAATAACTGCAATAAGCTTTATGAGCTTTGTTTACTTGTATATCGAATATAATAAGTATCAATCTTAGGTATATCGATAATATCGACATGAAAAATCGATTTGCGCAATGCGATATTCCTATTCAAGGCCTGAGCAGAATAGAAACATAACCGGAATCGTAATCGCAAACGCAACCGGAAGAATGAGTTACAGAAGAATAGACATATTGTTTGTCCTTCTCCAACTCATTATTCCGGTTGCGTTTGTGGTTACGATTCCGGTTACGTTTCTATTCTGCTCAGGCATTAATACTTTTATATTGAAATTTCAAAACTTTTTATTTAATTTTCAAGTCAATTAATTAGATTTTCTCTTTTTTTGATAATTTTTTTTTTAATATTAACTTTTCTTCCAATTTCTTCTTTTCTAAGACGACTTTCTACTTCATTCAATTTTCGATTATTATATTTCATTTTCAAAATTTTCGTTTCTTGAAGGCATTTTTTGCCACAAATTAACAGAATTGATTTATTTTTTGTAAATTAGCCCAATATTCTTAATTTTCCAGCAAATTATCTTTTTATTTAGAAAATTATCAAAATTCTTTATTTTCTTTTAATTATTTTTTAAACATAGCATTTCCACAAACTTTCTATTCTCTTTTCATTTTATAAAATTGGAATTTCGTAAATATTTTAATTAATTAGCTATAACACGTATTTCGCGAAATTAGGGAATAATTTCATTATTTAAAAAAAATGTTTTTTATATTATATAAAATAAAAATATGGTTTCATTTAAAAAAAAAATTTTTAATCTTAAATTTTTTTGCTATATATTAAAACATGTTTCTTAAGTGAATAAAATATTCTTTCAAGTGTATTATTATATGAAAAGAGAAAAGTTTACGAAAGATATAATAAATTGAAAATGAAATAAAAAGTGGTCGGTGAATAATATCGTTTTATCGCACACTCATTTCCTCGGGATGTCTCAGTATCATTTCAGTCTCAGAAGTGTAATTTAACACTGTTTGGAAAATATTTTTTCCCTTCTAAATGAAATTGTTAAATTAAAATTATGATAATACGATTTTTATTTATTTTTCTAAATTTAATTTTTGTTTTTGGCAATGAAACGAGTGATGATAGTTTTTGTGCTGCACAAAAAAACTGTACGAGTTGTTTACGTACAACAAATTGTGTTTGGTGTTCTTTGACGGTAATTTTTTTTTTTAATTTTAAACTTTATGTTATGTATTTTAATTTTTCTGGAAAAAATTTTAAAATATAAAGCGTAAAGAAAAATAAAAAAAACTTTGTATCTTTAATTTTACAATTAAATTAAAAATTCTTAATTAATCTTTAAGTTAAAAATATTAATTTCAATGAAATTCTAATTAGCTAAGATTAAATTTGTACCTATAACTTATTCTCAATTTGATAAGAGGATTTAATTAAAATGAAATTGATTAAATTAGAAAAAATTTTTTTTTCAAAGACTATTCAACCAATAGTCCGATGTGTAACAAGGGAAAGATTCAAAACAGAAGGGGAATTATGGTGTGCAAAAAAGTCAGAGGTAGTGGATGATTTTTCAAAATTGAAAATAGTTGAAGACCGTCCTCTTTTATCTAATAAAGGAAGTGAGCCAATTCAAGTACAACCTCAAAAAATTCGCATTCGCCTTAGAACAGGTTACGTTTAGAAAATGACATTTTTTTTTCAATGAAAAAAATAATGCTGACAATAATAATGAATAAATGTTTAAGATTTAAAAAATCATAAGTAATTAATATAATTATAAAAAATAATAACAATTAAAATAATTACTAACAAAATTTTCCTAAATAGGGGAAGAGAAACGTGTAACCTTAAAATATAGTCTTGCACAAGACTATCCAGTTGATCTTTATTATTTAATGGACCTATCAGCCTCAATGGAAAATAAAAGGGATCAATTGTCCGAACTCGGATTACAATTGGCAGATGCAATGAAAAAATTAACGTTAAATTTTCGTCTTGGCTTTGGAAGTTTTGTGGATAAAGTTGTTTTACCAATGACAAATACTCAACCCGAAAGGTAATAATAAAATACATATGCTTAATATAAATAAATTAATTTTTAAATATAAGTAATTTTGTTCAAGTATATATGATGTACCCTATTGAAAAACCCTGTACAAAATCTTGTACAAGAAAATGTACATGTTCAGCAGCTGAACTTGTACCTGTTCTCGTAAGAACATGTAAAAGATCTTGTACAATTTCGGCACCAGAATTTGGAACAAGTTCTTGTACGAGAACTTGTACAAGATATTGTACAAGTAAATATATTTAATATTTGTATACAAGAAAATGTACATTTTCTTGTACTTGTTCTTGTACAAGTTCATTTAAAAATTTTTTTTTTGAAAACAATTTGAGATTTTAATAATTTAAAATTATTAAATCCTTTTACTTAAGCATGTCAAAAATTATTGCGCAGCTGTAAAGTCCAAAGAAAACTACTGCGCAACCTTTAAAGTTTTTCATTTTCACTAAACGAAGACATAAATGAACCTGTACGAGAAAATATACATGTTCTTGTACATTTTTTTGTATACAAATATTAAATATATTTTTGTTCACGATCTTGTGCAAGATCTTGTACAAGTTCTAATACAAGAACTTGTTCCAAATTCTGGTGCCGAAATTGTACAAGATCTTTTACATGTTCTCACCAGAACAGGTACAAGTTCAGCTGCTGAACATGTACATTTTCTTGTACAAGATCTTGTACAGGGATTTTCAATAGGGTATTCCACGCCAAAGTGTAAGTCCATCTGCAATTGCAATTCCGATTTTTTTGAGATTTTTTTTCTTTTAGTACTAATTGAGACTAGCTTCCATGAATTTTTTTAATTTTATTTAACAAGCCGTTTTCGAGTTATGGAATTTTGAAAATTGGAGAATTTTCATGACTTTTAATTTTTGAATGCTCATAACTTCCTTAAAAATGCATCAATTTTAAAAGTCTTTTTTTCCAAAAGGGGTGTTTTTAAACGTATCTTTCAACAAAAAAATCGAAATTTTTTTTAAACGATATTACTATCAAATTTTTTAGTTTTAATGATAAAAACTACTTCTAATTACGAAACTTTTAAGCCTAGTCCGATAATGGGCAAACGATTTTTACACTTTCGGAATTTTTAAAAAATTTTTTAATTTTGAAATTTTTAAAAATATTTTTGTTTTTTTTTATACTACGTACTTTTATGTATTTTGATGCGCTGATTACGAAAATCATAGTGAGAATACCCTAAAATTTGTTTTTTATGGTGAAAATCATATAAAAGTCCCAAAATTTATGGTTTTTTTCGTTTATTGGGTAAAATATGCAAATTTAAAAAAATACATAAAATAAAAAAAATGTATTTTAATAAGATTTATAACTTTTGTTTGAAAGTTTTTTTTTAATTTTGCATATTTTACCCAATAAACAAAAAAAACCATAAATTTTAGAACTTTTTTATGGTTTTCACCATAAAAATCCAATTTTTAGGTATGAAATGAGAAAAATGACTTTTTATCATTAAAACTCAAAAATTTGATAGTAATATCGTTTAAAAACACACATTTTGAAAAAAGACTTTTAAAATTGATGCATTCTTAAGGAAGTTATGAGCATTCAAAAATTAAAAGTCATGAAAATTCTCCAATTTTCAAAATTCCATAACTCGAAAACGGCTTGCTAAAATAATTTGAAAAAATTCATGGAAGCTAGTCTCAATTAGTACTAAAAGAAAAAAAAATCTCAAAAATATCGGAGATGCAATTGCAGATGGACTTACACTTTAGCGTGGAATACATCATATATTTAACTAATTTTAAATAATACTTCATTTAGATTAGTTGTTCCATGCAATTTTATATCGGTTTCAAATTCGTGTACTGTCCCATATGGATATCGAAATCAATTATTTCTAACTGAGGATATATCTCTCTTTAAGGTATTACTTTATTCATTTTTTTAATTTACCTAATATACCTAATTTAAAAACAACCAAAATTTATATTTAAATTAAATATATTCTTTACGTTAAATCAACCAAAAAAAATATGTTTCAAACAAATTTACAATATATTTGACTGTATAGCAATGATAAAATAAATTTGAATTAAACATATCTGAAAAGTTTAGCTATAATAGCTAATAAAATTTCTGTCCATGTAATATACACTGAGAAAACTGTTTGGTATCATGTATCAAAGTTTGGTTGTCCCTACCAAATTTTTTATTTGATATATGTGCAACTAACCCGTTTGGTTGGGAGTACTAAATTTTTTTGTCCAACCGTTAAATTTCGCTCAATTGAATTATTTAGTAGGTGTAACCAAATAATTTAGTCTACGTAATAAATACATTTATTAGAATGAAAAAAAATGTTCTGTTGACGTAAATAAAATTTAGTTATTTCAACTTACTGTTTTCGTTGATTAAAAAAATTTTTTTTGTAGAAATAACTAAATAATTTATTTTATATAAAATAGTTTATTTGGTCATTTTTACGATTTTGTATAAAAAATAAGGTATTTTAATTCAAGAGAGATGAGATTAATAATATAACTTTATTAAATTCATTATGCTTAGACATTACAAAAATAATTTATCTTCCCGTAAGTACACACTACGCGCGTTTCATGAAATATCTCAAAATGATATCGCATAAAATTGAGGAGCAAGTTTTCAAAAGTTGATACAGAATGCCACGAGGCATTCTAACCCCCATTCTCTTAGCAAACGTTTTGTCACTTCGTCAGCCATTCTTTCGAAATAAAAGAAACACTTTCAGTACACTTTTAAAAAATAAATATTAATAAAACTTTAATGACACTGCTACGATAATAGACCAGCCGAACAATAAAAACACATGACATAAATGATCGGAAAAGCATAACGCGGAAGAGGTCCACGACTGACTAGGCCCTACGACCGACGCCACATTTTCGAGAACAGCGCGTGCGCAATTCTGCGTGCCAGCGATTTAGTACGGAGAACCAAACTGTTTAATTCGTAGACATGAAACCTTCAAAAATATTTTTTGGTAGAGCAAACTAAATTTTTCGATTGATTGCCACTTTCTTTTCTGTTGTGCCAACCATACTTTAGTAAGGCCAACTAAAAATGCTTAACTAAATTATTTTCTTATTATTACGATATTATTTTTCTCAGTGTAGCAATTAATTTTAGCTGGAATAGCTAACTATTAGCAACTTTTTTTTCTTTGTGTATTATTGAAATTATTTTAAGCTCAATGAATTTTAATTAATTGCTTAAAGACACGTGTGAAACAGGCGTCAATTTCTGCAAATATGGATGCACCTGAGGGTGGATTAGATGCAATGTTACAAGCAATGGTCTGTACAAAAGATATTGGTTGGAGGCCTAAAGCCCGACATCTTATGGTTTTTTCAACAGATGATAAATATCATATTGCTGGTGATGGCAAAGTAATACAATTTTCAAATTATCCAGTTAGGCATAAATAATGTAATGATACAGTTTAACAACTAATAATATTTCACGGTATAAATGGTTAAAGTATGCACCGTAATTTATCAGCTTGCAGGCATAGTAGAACCAAATGATGGGCTTTGTCACTTGGACGAAGATGGATATTACACTTACTCTTTGCTTCAAGATTATCCATCAATTGCACAGGTGAGAGAGACAACTCTCTAATTTTTATTTTCACAAGAAAGTTAATAATTATTATTCTTCTATTTATATATATTATTATTATACTGTATGTCTTTTTATTGATATAATGAGTATTTTTTATATTGTCAGAAAAAAATTTATCAATTATTCCTTTTAAGAAGGAATGTACCGCAAATTGAAGTCAAACCATCTTTTACAAAAAAATATTTTAAAACAATTTTATAAGCAAACTAATTTTTTAGTATATTTCCGTTACTACGAGTTATAAATGCAAAGAATTTAGGATAAATATCGTAAAATTAATGAGATAACAGTAGGCTGTCCAACGAAATTTTGATACATGACCGTGAGACGAATTTCAGTATCTGCGCATACTAACACATGCATATTTTTATATCGTTGATTTGTTTTCCTGTGTTTTGTTTTTGCGGTGTTTTTATATTCAGTATTTTTAATCAAAGTGAGAAATTTTTAATAAATAGTGTAAATTTTTTAAAGTGAACAACGGGGCGAATTTGTTGTGTTAAGAACTGCAGGAGCAGTTCTTTATGTGCAAGTGAAAATAGTCAAAATAACAATAAGAAACAGATGTTTTCTTTTCCAAAAAATGAGGTTAGTTTTTTTAATTTATTAAAATATAAATATGTTTTCACTGCAAAAAAGGGAATAAATGTTTTATTTCGAATATAATAAGATTGTTTATAATTATCTGTGATTTAATTGTGACGCGACGCGAAGAAAGGTACCTAAGAAGCCAAACGGCAATTTTACAGGAGAGGGAAAAGAACAAGCGAGAACGCGGCGCAGAATTTCCGATATCTCTTACTCTCTCTCGTTTCCCACTACTAATTCGAGTTAGCGTCTGTGTATTCGGCCGTCTTCGGCAAGTAAAGAGAGATGCACCTCGTACACGTGCTTTCGTAGTGAGAGAGAACGGTGTAGTCAGCGCATCTCTCTCTAAATCACGAATACCGAACCGAACTTCAAGTGGCGCATGGTTACAGTGAGAGGGGAGCGTAGATATGTGTGCGTGAGGAAAAAGAGAATCAACTCTTAGCACGAATTGTTCATCTTTAAATCGTTATTACAAGAAAAGTATTAGATAAAAATTAATTTTGACTTCAGATAATTGAAAAGCAATCTTTAGTTTATCGAAAACAATCATAATCCGAAAATCGATTTTTGCCTTCTTAGGTACCTTTCTTTGCGTCGCGTCACAATTTTATTCAGTATGTAAATCGGAAATATTAAAGGTTTTTAGGTTAGAATTGAACATATCTGTATATATTTATGTATGCGCAGATACTAAAATTCGTCTCACGGTCATCTATCAAATTTCGTTGGACAGCCTACCGCAGTGCCAATATCTGCTCCCCCTATTTAAATTTTTTTTACAGTATTTTGAAGGTTTAAATCAAAAAATCATATTTCTAGGACTATATCTTTATTGAAAGTGTTCAAAAAAACTAAATTCATAGGTTTGGAGAGGTTAACTCCATAAGACACAATATTAATTTAATTGCAAATATTTTCAAAACTAGACGGTGAAAATTGTTTAAACTTTACAAAATTACGTCAAATTAATTCAACTTTAACATATTTTAAAAGCATCAAAAAATCTTTACTTTTTGTTATTGCACATTCGCTGAAATTTCAATCTTTCGAAATTAAGGCTGTTTAAGGTTGTCAATTTTTTTTCTGTTAATATTGAATATTTAAAACTGTAATATACTATGGGAAATTGAAAAACAATTAATTTATTAATAATTTTTTAAATAAAACTCGAAATTTTCAAAAACTAAAAATTTAAAATTCTGTTGCAATTTTTATTATTTTTCATTACTGATTTTTTATACACTTTTTTAATGATTCTGAACAATCAATCGTATGGATTTTGAAAAAATTCAATTTCTCCAACGCCTGCTCTGAAAGTGCAACTTTCTTGGTTAGAAAAGTATTTATTAATTCCTTGGCCGAGCATGGGGAAAGTAAAGTTGGTGGGGAGAAAGTAAATTCGATCTGATTTGACTGCACGCAGGATTAGATTTCTTTGTAATTTAAAGAAATGTAATAAATAAAAGAACTTATTACTAGCGACATCTTGCGCGACTTGAACTAACTGCGTAATTAAAGTTTTAACTCTGAGTGTGCTCACACTAATTCACGAAAACGACCATAGTGTTGCTTAGTACAAAAAATGGTGTTGACAGTTTTGTTCTGGTTCTAATTAATAAAAATGCATTTCCTCGCGAGACGTTGGAGAAAACGTCTTGTGCGACACGTGGGAAAGTGGTTGATTTTTCTCGAGTGATTGCTACTCTCACTGCGCTCGAGCAGCAAACTTCACTCTCCTAAAATTAACCACTTTCCCCACTAGTTGCAAAATGTTATATTTTTAAAAAATAAAATTTCTGAAAAATTGTAAAAAATTACTTTTTTTCATTTTTCATAGTGAAATATGATTTCAGGTTCTAAAAAACTTTGTAACAAAAATTGTTACCCCTAAACCAAACCAATTACAGTTTGGTTTAAATTTTATTAATTATTCATTAAAAATTTAACTTCTTCTACAGTTTTTATTATTTTTTATCGGTAATTTTATTGTAGGCTTTTTTCATGATTCTGAACAATCAATCGTATGGATTTTTAAAAATTTTAATATTGTCAAAAAATAAAATTTCTAAAATAGTCAAAAAATTTTTTGTTTAATTTTGATATAATTCACAATAATTTTAGATCTCAAATAATGACAGAAAAATAATTGACACCCCTTAACAACATTAATTTCGATAAGTTGAAATTTCACCGGTCTATTCCCTTAACAAAACAACTTTGACAAAAAAAGAAAATTAAACAAAGAACACAATAAAAAATAAACTCTGCTGGCAAAAAAATTTTTTTTGTAGTATAAAAATAAACTCTGACTCATAGAGAAATGTTATTTGAAAACACGGCAGTCTTGTGGATTAGATTTTTAAAAAAATATTGCTGAATAATTATAATTTGCGTTATAATTGCGTTTTAATTTTTCATATTTCACAAATGTTTTTATTTTTATAAGTTATAATAATAATTTATCAATTTCTTCACATTATAGTTTTTTTTAGGAAAGAAAAAATGATTTCATATCACATTTTCAGATAAATAAAGTAGCACAAGAAAATAACATTAACATCATATTTGCAGTACCGCCAGATGAAAATATTACTTATTATCTTTTGTCAAAAAGTATTATTGGTTCCTCAATCGGTCTCTTGGAAAACGATTCCACAAATGTTGTTGCCTTAATTAGTAACGAGTATGAGGTATAATTAAAAACGACTTTTTCAAATATCATAAAAAATCTTTCATTACTTAGTAAAATATTATTATTGCGTTATTTTTATTATTATTAATTTTTTTATTATAATGTATAATTATTTAAAATTTTCTATATGGCTTTAATTTTATAATTAATTTGTTTTTTATGATTATTATTTAAAAATTAGAAATTGGTAAGTTCTGTGACGATGTCGGATAATGCGACAAAAGCAATTGATGTAAAGTACTTTTCGAGATGTTTAGAAGAATCTAAGGACTTGAAGGAAAGTCGTGAATGCGAAGGTCTTCGTGTCGGTAATGTCGTCGAGTTTGAAATACTTTTAAAGGTATTCCACGTAAAACAACTTAAAAGTGTATAATAAAGTATAAAAGTTATTAATTCAATTACATTTTTTTTCAATAAACAGGCGTTAAATTGTCCTGAGAATCCAGACGAATGGCAACAAAATATCCAGATAAGGCCCACAGGTCTTGACGAAAGTCTCACTGTCGAGTTGCAATTAATTTGTGATTGTCCCTGCGATAGAGATAATCATCCGGTATAAAATTTGACATATTATTTTATAACTCACAAATGTCATTTAATTTTTAATAAGTCGCTGAAGATTTATTTCATAACATTAGTTAATAAATTAATACATTTTTGGTATAGTTTTATATTTTATTTATTAAATACAATATAATGTGATTTTTAAGTTCCGGATCCCCTAAAATTTTTTTTTTAATTTAAGGGTATGTGGGAACCTTCCACGTGACCTAGTATGGGAAAATGTGTTTTGGTAGTATACATTTCTCTCTAAAATGAGAAAAGATTTTTGTCTAAAATTTTGAGGGATGATACATTAGGGTACAAAGAATCTCGTTGTTCTCCGAAAAATACATAATTTTGAATTAAATTATTAAAAAATGATGTTTAAAAAGTGTCATTTTTAAACAAAAATGAAAACAAAGATGGTGGCGCATACACAGTGTGTCACTGCTCCATTAAACAGCGCCAATTCGAGCAAGTGGATACTGAATGAACTATGATTAAATACATTATTTTACCATTTATTGCTTTATTTTTATTATTTTTGCGTTAAGTTATGGTAAATGAGTAGAACAGCAAAATTCCTTGTACCAAACAAAATCATTTCTCCAAAATTTTAACCCGAAATCATTTTTTATTTCATAGAAAATTTCAAACCACAAAAAACGTCCTTTGCCCACATACCCTTAACTTGTTTTTTTGTTTAAAAAATGAAAAAAAATGAGATTAAAAAAAAATGTTTTTAGGGGATCCGGAACATAAAAATCATCCTGTGTAAAAATAATTTATAAATATTTTATTGTATAATAATATAAATAAGAATTGTTTCCAATTTAACAGAATAATATACCGGAAAGTTTAAGTTGCAAAGGGAATGGTACATTAATTTGTGGCGTTTGTCATTGTGATCATGGTTTTTATGGAAAATTTTGCGAATGTAAGGGAAATATGAATGATGATAGTGAATCGATAATAGAAGATTGTAGTCCAAATGGAGAAGAGAAAATTTGCAGTGGACGTGGAACATGCAAATGTGGAGTTTGTGATTGTGACAAACGAGTTAATTCGAGAGAATTTTTTTATGGAAAATATTGCGAATGTGATAATTTCTCCTGTAAACGAAATAGTGCTAAATTGGTAAGAAGATAGACAATTAAAAATAATTTTTTACCATGATGATTGAGGTAAGTTTGGTACAAAAAATTTGATTTTTCCATTTCTTCTTCAAAAATACAAATTACTTAAAAATTTTATCTTAAATATATTTAATTATATTATGAACATTCTTCTGAAAGTTATCAAGTTTTTTACCATTCTTGCCTCGTGGTTCGGGTAAGTTTGGTACAAATTATTATTTTTAATTGTAAAAGCAATCTGTAACCCATTTTTTTGACTTAAACTATTTGTACATATTTCATTTATTTTTCTAATTTATTAACGTTTTAATTTTAAATATGAAATTAAATGTAAACGTTATTTATGTATATATATATATATATTTGTGAGAAGATTGCTATATCATTTTTCATGTTTTATTTTGCATCATCATTTTAAGACAAATGGAAAATAACTGTAGTAAATTTGCTTATGGCAAAAGAAATATTAACACCTAAGATTTTTATGTGGATTTTTGCTTTATTTTAATATCAAGATTCATCTTCATCAGGTTTGCGGTGGACGAGGTAAGTGTGAATGCGGCACGTGCAATTGCTTTCCAGGTTGGACTGGTGATACTTGCGATTGCAAAGAAACTAATAGAACGTGTAAGCCGAAGGATGATACGAATGAAATTTGCAGTGGTCATGGTGATTGCATTTGTGGAAAATGCCATTGTCACCAAAAAGGAAATATTCGTTATTCAGGACAATTTTGCGAAGATTGCCCGGTTTGTTTGAAATTTTATTTATTTCAATTGCTCATCTGAAAAATAAGCACAAATCAATTTTTATATTGAAACACAATTAAATTCTTAATTTAAGAATACATTTTGGCATTTATTTTAAAAATAAAGTCGCGCTTGCATAATATACATATTAGCAAAATTTTCTTAGTTTAAGAATATATAATGCATGACATTTCATTCTTGTACCCAAGTAGAAATGTGCCACTGGCATAGTACTGACCCAACACTGCCAAGTATAACGGTACTGACTGCCGTACTGGGCCAGTAGTGGACCAACCCTGGCTGGTAACGCTGTCCAGTACTGATTTTGTCCCGCTCACCAGTACTAACGTAGTACTAGAATAATACTGGCATAATACTGGCAAAGTACTCATCCGGACTTAAAATCTCACTTTTTTACAAAATGCTAAAACACGCTTTCCAATGCAAATTTCATCCTTATTAGCTTATTACTCCCATTTTTACCACGAACAGGTAATGTGAAGCCAATAATAGTTAATGTTATTTAGAATATATAAAATATTATTAACAATAAATAATTAAAATAATAATGATCATTTATATTAATTAAATTATTTTATTTTTAATAAATTATTTTACAAAAAATAATTTGTGTTGTAAATTTTTTTATTTTTTTAAATTCATAATATTTAATTTTTTTTACTTTCCACTTATACTTAATTTAATAATTATTTAATAATTGATATTACACATGAACAAATATTGTACTTATAACACTTAAAACTAAGAACGAAAAATCTCGCACGCATGGGGGATCGAACCCTAAACCCTTAGAACGCAAGTCAGATACGCATACCGCACAGCCGCGCTGGCTTGAAGTGCTGACTTAAAGTAGTTCACCTAATACAAAAGTTTTGATTTCAAAGTTTGTATTATCTATTGATCACGAAAATAAAATGAATTTATTCTTAAATTTTTTAAACTCATAAAATTTTTTCAATTTTTACAAAGATTTAATGAAATAAAACTGGATATCAATTTCAGTTAAATATTTTTAATAAATTATTTTTACCGTAAATAATATTAAAACAGACAAAAATGATTGATCAATTACATAATTAAAAATAAGTTAATAAAAGACGACTGTAAAATATGAATGGTGAAAAATTTTTTAAATTTAATATTTAATTATTAATAATATTTAAAAATTACAGTGAAAAAATTACATTTGCTTTATTTTTAAAACTATTAGAAAAAAATTCTCAACTTATTGTTATTGTATGCATGATAAATAACTTAATGCACATATGAGTACTAAAATAACTAAAAAAACATAAATATATTTTATATAGGTATATAATAATACATTACAATTACATCCAAAATTTTGAGGGAAAGTATTCGAAAGAAATTAATATACATTTTTTTAAATAAAAAATCATCGTTTTCTACCTATTGGAACCCAAGTAGAAATATCTGTAGCTCGCCGTAATTAAACACCGGCATGGTACTGATCCAATACTGGCTGTCGGTATTGACTTTCAGTACTGGCAGTGTACTGACTAATACCGACAGCCAGTATTGGATCAGTACCATGCCGGTGTTTAATTACGGCGAGCTACGGATATTTCTACTTGGGATATAGTTATAAATTTGAAATATATTTTTTTTTCAGTATATTTAATTTAAAACAATAAAATTATCTCAAAAAAATAATTACTAAACTTATTGTCATATATTTTTAAAACAATTTGTTATTATTTTTGTATAGACTTGTCCGGAGAAACTATGTGAAGAATTTAAAGATTGTGTCGAATGCTTTGTGCATAATTCGGGTCCATTAGTTGCTGAAAATGGATGTGAATCATGTCCTCATCATATTAATGTCGTAAGATATTTATATATATGTAAATAAAAAAATTAGAAAAAAATTTGTTTCTAACAAATTTTTATTAGTTTTCAGAAAAACAATTTTGTTTTTTAGGTAAAACTAATTCAAGAAGAGGCTACTGATAAAGAAACTGGAGCTCAAATATGTAAAGTTCCTGGAGATGGTGATTGCACTTTTGCCTTTAAATACAAATCCTATCGAGAGGGTTTGGGGGGAGATATAAAAGCTTATGAAATCACTGCCCAAGAAAGTAAAGAATGTCCCGAACCAGTAAATGCTATGGGTAAACAATTAAAAAAAAAAATTTGTAGTTTTATATTAATTTTTCACTGATAGATTCAATTTTTATTTTTAATTTCATTAATATATCCTTAATTTAATTAATTAATTTGTATTTAAATGCAAAATACGTGAGTTTAATATAATAAAACGTATTTTTTTTATTTTTAGGAATTGCAATGAGCGTTATTATATCAACTGTAATTCTTGGTTTACTTGTTCTATTAGTTTGGAAAGTATTAACTGAAATACATGACAAGAGAGAATTCGCGAAATTTGAAAATGAGCGAACACTAGAAAAATGGAGTCAGGTATGTTAAATAATACTTAAATAATTTTAATATTAATCCTAGAAAGCACAACTGGGGTAGAAAACTATCCAAGAGAAATTTCAAACTACGCGCTCCTGTCTCTGTCAGCTAAACTGTCATGGCGGAATCTTAATTCGATGTAGTTATCTGACAATCGATTTTGGCGATGAAGCGAATTGTTTACGTAAATAATTACTTTTTATCTTAAAATTGAAAATTTTTTGAGATAGAAAACTATCGCTGTTATACTTTTACGTTCGAGTTTTACTAGGTACCTAAGTCAATTTTTTTTAATATCTGTATATTTTTAAATTATTACACGGAAAAAACAAACTAACTATTTTAAAACCAAACTGCTTTATCCTTTAATAGTATATAATTTCGTTTACCTATTAAAGTATGAAATAAATGCTTTTTTAGTTTAAAGTAAGTCCATACTAAATGAGTACCTATAATGGTTATACTCTTATAGTAATAGTGACGTACTTTAAAAGTATAAAATTGATGCCCGCGAAGTACGACATATAGTCTACCTAAAATAGTAAGAGCTTCTTCCTTTTTGGTGGATAAATTCTTGCAACCTGCGTTTTGGCCTATATCGATATATCGAAATATCGATGGTTGGAAAGGGAGGTAGGCGTGGCCAAAACGCAGGTTGCAAGAATTTATCCACCAAAAAGGAAGAAACTCTTGCTATTTTAGGTAGACGGGAATCAATTTTATGCTTTTAAAGTACGTCACCATTACTATAAGAGTATAACCACTATACTTATTTAGTATGGACTTACTTTAAACTAAAAAAGCATTATTTCATACTTTAATAGCCACAGAAAAAAAGGTGGGTAAAAAGTTGTAAAGATGGAGCACGGAGGAATAGTAAGGAGACCGATTTCTGCGTTTGAAAATGTCAGAAAAACATGTACGATAAGTGCCAGGTTCAGTGCATTGTACTCAACTGGCCAAAGTAGTTGAGCATGCGCATTGGATCTCAATTTTGACAGATGATTTATTTATTATGTATGTCATGAAAAAGATTTTTCTTACATCCTGGCACACAGCACGACATTTTAAAATAAACAATACATAATAATTATTAAAATAATAACATAACAAGAAAACATAACACCTTCATCACAACACGCATGGAAGACTTGAGAAATATACGTCAGCCAGATCTCACTCGCACACTTTTTGCGAGAGAAAGAGACAGCACATGGCTAATGCGCATGCTCAGCTACTTTGGTGGTTGAGTAGAATGCAGTGAAACTGGCACTTATCGTGCATGTTTTTCTGACATTTTCAGAAGCGCTACTACAGCAAGATCGGTCTCCTTACTATTCCTCAGTGAGATGGAGGATAAAAGTCGTTAGGATACAGGGTAAAGGATAAATTTGTGATGGATAAAAATGTTACTATAATATTTACTAGAAAAATGGATGTCATATTTGAGTAAACTGTCTAATTTTAATAAAAATATTAGTAATTTTACACTTAACTTATTAAATCCACAAATTTTATATAAATAAGTAATTGCACGTGGAAATATTTTGCTTATAATTATTGTCTATTATTAAAAATATCTTTGACTAATATAACTGACAGCTGACGATAGTGCGTAAATAATCAGAACTGGCAAATTACAACTCAACGTATATTGTTTCACGAAAGCAGAGTAGGGTAGTAACTGAATTTTTTGTGCATATTAGGCTGTGTCAGTTCATCGAGATATTTCGAGTTCAAGATATGACGTCAGAGGTCTGGAGGAACAAGAAACATACGACACAATGTTATTCTTACCGGGAAGAAAACTTGTTTCCACTTTCATAAATTTTATTCATACTTTGAACATTGGAAAACGCTTGTTGACATCTAATAAAATTAACATGTGTGTTGATAATTAATTTTGTAATATATTTGATTCAATTGCATTTATAGATTCTCTGAATTCGTGATAAAATATAAATTTTGAGGTTAGGGGTGTTTTTTTACTAACTTGAAATCTTTTACTGCTGCGGTAATTCCCACTTAAAATATATATTTTATATCTTTTTTAATAACATGCATACTGGATATTGTTTAATAATGTTAAAATGTAAAATGAGATTAGTAAACAAACTTTTCTAACCTCAATATTTATATTTAATCACGAATTCAGAGAATCTATCAATGCAAATGAATCAAATATATAACAAAATTAATTATCAACACACATGTTAATTTTATTAGATGTCAGCAAGCGTTTTCCAATGTTCAAAGTATGAATAAAATTTATGAAAGTGGAAACAAATTTTCTTCCCCGTAAGAATAACATTGTGTCGTATGTTTCTTGTTCCTCCAGACCTCTTACGTCATATCTTGAACTCGAAATATCTCGATGAACTGACACAGCCTAATATGCACAAAAAATTCAGTTACTACCCAACTCTGCTTTCGTGAAACAATATACAGACGTTGAGTTGTAATTTGCCAGTTCTGATTATTTACGCACTATCGTCAGCTGCACAGTTTTCTTGTGTGTATCAAATTGATACAAGAATTAAGATCAACTCATGCAACGTTTTGATTCAATATAAGGTATCAAATTGATCCAAATATTTGAATCATTTTCAAGAAATGATCCAGAATATGGGATCATTTTTTGATACCTGAATTGGTATCAAAGTATAACTGTCATGGCTGGCATTCTCTTATTGACAAGTTTATTAATTAATTTATTCACTGCACTGAATATTCAGATATTAAAAATACTTTTATTATGAATTTTAAGAAAGAGATAAGCGAAAACTTATAAATTGCGAGCAATTAAATAAGAAATAATGTATTTCGAAATAAAATGAAATACACTAACCTTTATTTATGTTTATCACATAAGATTTAAGTTAAGTTCACAATCACAACACTTGAAAATTTTTAATTATTTTTATGGTTCAAATAATTATCAATAATTTATTTATTATAAATGAACAAAATTTAAGTAATGCACGCTTGATAAATATTTCTAATGCGTTGTCAATTAATGCAATTAATAATTTCCTATTACACAATATCATAATCGACATATATGACATTTGTAAACAAACAGGGTTGGGAAACAAGAGCCCAAAATATATTCTTTCAAAGCGAATTTCAATCCTACCCAACTCTGCTTTGGACGAACATATTTTGGGCTCTTGTTTCCCAACCCTGTTTGTTTACAAATGTCATATATGTCGATTATGATATTGTGTAATAGGAAATCATTAATTGCATTAATTGACAACGCATTAGAAGTATTTACCAAGCGTGCATTACTTAAATTTTGTTCATTTATAATAAATAAATTAGGGTAAATGCACCAATGGTGGATCAGGCACCAATGGTGGATCAACAGCGTTAAAAAGGTTAAAATAAGCTATTTCTAATTGAACTAAATGTTGCAATCGTTTAGGGGAGGTGTATAGATAAGTTTTATGAAATAAAATCATTTGAAAATATTTATGAAAACAAAGCAATACAACAATTGTTGATTTTATGCTTTTTCACATGAAATCTTAAAAAATAATTGTTTAGTCTAAATTTTTTTAAATTTTCGAGTAGAAAGTAATCAATTCTTTCCATATAGAATACTTTTGGAAAAAAATTTACATCATTAAGTTATTTTTGTGTAGTGTAAAGGGGTAAATGATCCACGACTGGAGCAATGTCATTTTATTGTTGAATGTGGGTGTGAGGGGGTGTAAACGTTACAAGCAGGTCGAAAACTACATGATAGTGTCCTTGAAGACTTGTTAATTCATACTATTGTAAAGATTACCCTATATTTTTCATCTGAAAAAATCTATACACCTTTAAAGTCAAAATAATAAATTTAGTAGGCTTAATTGATCCACCACTGGTGCAGTTACCCTATTGATAATTATTTGAACCACAAAAATAATTAAAAATTTTCAAGTGTTGTGATTGTGAACTTAACTTAAATCTTATGTGATAAACATAAATAAAGGTTAGTGTATTTCATTATATTTCGAAATACATTATTTCTTATTTAATTGCTCGCAATTTATAAGTTTTCGCTTATCTCTTTCTTAAAATTCATAATAAAAGTATTTTTAATATCTGAATATTCAGTGCAGTGAATAAATTAATTAATAAACTTGTCAATAAGAGCATGCCAGCCATGACAGTTATACTTTGATACCAATTCAGGTATCAAAAAATGATCCCATATTCTGGATCATTTCTTGAAAATGATTCAAATATTTGGATCAATTTGATACCTAATATCGAATCAAAACGTTGCATTCCAAAATGATACCATCAAGTTTACAGTGTGTCAGTTATATTAGTCAAAGATATTTTTAATAATAGACAATAATTATAAGCAAACTATTTCCACGTGCAATTAGTTATTTATATAAAATTTGTGGATTTAATAAGTTAAGTGTAAAATTACTAATATTTTTATTAAAATTAGACAGTTGACTCAAATATGACATCCATTTTTCTAGTAATATTTTAGTAACATTTTTATCCATCACAAATTTATCCTTTACCCTGTATCCTAACGACTTTTATCCTCTATCTTTACAACTTTTTACCCATACCTTTTTTTCCGTGAGATAAACGAAATTATATACTATTAAAGGATAAAGCAGTTTGGTGCTAAAATAGTTAGTTTGTTTTTTCCGTGTACTATTACACAAAAGTGTACTATAACTTCATGCCCAAGAATTCATGACAAAAAAATGCAAATCTTTTGTGACTGGTTACATAAAAGCAATGTGCCAGGTACACAGAACCGTCCTGTGCAAAATTTGCTCGGCAATTGATTAGATTTTTTAAAAAATTACTTTCTACTTGTTTAAAATTACACAATAAGGGCTTTTTATTTCAATATCGTGGTTCCTTTACTCATTTCCAAGTGTAATTGAGTGCTATTCTATCATTTGTAGGTCATTATTAATCATTTATCTGCATATTTCATTGATTTTCTGTAGTGGCTTAACCCTGACTACTGTTTTTTTAAAATTGCTTAAAACTCCGAAACTTTTGGTCAAATATTTTTACAATGTTCGGTAAAAACATTGCATTTTAGTAGATCTCTTGAACGATAAGCGAGAAATCTCGAAATTCGGCCTACAGGGGAAGTTATAAAGAAAAGTCAAAACTATGGCCAACTCTGACTACTATCCCCTACTACTTTGTAAACATTCAGTGTGTTCAAACAATTTTTTTTTATAAACAAAAAATTTATAAATCAAAAAAGGCCAATTGGGCCTTCAAATACGCCTAGTTAGCTTCATAAATTCACTGGAATCTATTTTGAAATTAAATTCTTTAAAAGTTATACATTTTTCGCAAATTTTGTGTTTTTTTTTGTTTTTGTAACTTTTTTGACCATATTTTTGATTCAATGGAGAAACAAAAAACGCTGTCTTCTTCCTCATTAAAAAATAAAGAAAATGCGATATTATAAAGATATTTTGTATTAAATACAAACATTCTATACCAACGAAACAATTTTTGTGTGGTTTTCTACCCCAATTGTGCTTTTACGTAAGAGCCAACATTTTTTAAAATGAAAAATTTTATAATGTTTTGCTTAAAAAATATTTCTTAGAGTTTTCATTAATTAACAAATTAAAAAAATATATTTTTAGGCAAAAAATTTTAGAATTTTTCATTTTAAAAAATTATTTTTTTAAAACTCGTTTATCATAAACGTTGCGTACTTCAGTTTCGTAAAATTTTGAAATTTTTAATTTTAATTATTTGGTTCAATCTAACCTTTTATAACCCTTCGCATTCTGTAAGCATATAGCAAATAGTTTATCTAAGAGAGCAATAATGTTCAAAAAACGAAATTTCAAAGTTTGATTTTTTACTGCTTGTCTATTATTGTCATTTTTATAAATTTGTTACAATCAAATCCCAGCTCCCCTAATTTATTCATATAATTTATAATTAATAATTAGTGATTAAAGAACTTTTTTTTCAGCAAGATAATCCTTTGTATAAACAAGCAACAACAACATTTGATAATCCTACGTTCAGTAGTCTCTACAAGGATTCATATTCTGACGATTAAAATTTTTTTACATAGGTGACAATAATAATGTAAAAAATAGTTTTTAACAAACTATCAAACGATATTTTAAATATATATATATTAGTATTCTCATATTTTTGTGTGCAGTTATTCAAAGAAAACATAAATAATGCTCATCGCATCAAGTGAATAAGAAGAATACCTACCGATGATATATTCTGAGAAAAAAACTCCTTTGTTTCATTTTTGGACTTGACTCCTTAATTAAGATATTTTTTTTCAAGACAAGGCTTCGACACTTGACCATTATATTCTCTTCTTGGAATTTTTTCAAGTATAAAATCAATTTTTACTTTCATACTACCAGCGGTATAATTCTTTAGCTTTGCAGCAATAATTCAACAATAAGATGATGAGGGGTCAAAGAATAATAATCGGAAGAAGAAAATAAACGAAAATGTCTATGTAATAATTATTGTTCAAGTAAACAGTAATTATTAATTTTGAACAAGCATAAACGGAAACAATTGAGAACGAGACAATTCATTTATGTATATGATTAAATATTATACGAAAAAAAGGAGGGAAAAACAAAAATAATGATACAAAGAATTAAATTATTCCTGCTATTTTTTTCCATAGCAATTATTGGAAAATTATTATTAAAATTACTTAAAAATGAAAATTATTTAAAGTAATTTTTTGTTAGAATTAAATGAAAATTAATTTTCTATTTAAAAATACTCATTTCCTTCCAGTTGCAAATGTGTATTTTTTTCTATGAAAATTTCTTTTTGAAGTTAATATTTTCTTTTTATTTTCTGCAAATAAATTACAACTGAATCCAGTTACTGGCGCTGTGGAATGAAGGCGAACTAAGTGAATGTAAGCCATGTTGTTTAATTATTATACTGAGAAACGACCAATCCGCTTCATGCGACTTAATGTACTCCCCTTGTGAGGCAGTCTCTTCCTTTCTACAACATAGTCGTTGATTCCTTTTTTTTCTTGCTTTGTATCAATTAGCAAAAATTATATTCTACTATTCTTTTTAACACTCTATTTTATTGACAAATATTATTAAAATTATTTTTTCCTTATTATTACTATTATTATTTACTATTATTATTTACTATTATGTTGTTACTAATTCACAGTAAATACCAGTTGCCAACTCACATAAAGTTTTCTGAACGGGAAAAATTTTAACGTGTTGTAAGAACCTGAAACTATTATTGGCGGGTTTCAGGACCTCAATTATTCAAAATTTGTAAAAGTTATTCACGATTAAACTTGAGAGCAAGGTCACACAGAAACTGTATTTGCACTGAGGGTTAAAAAGTTTTTTATGTTTATTAACAAACATTGACAATAACAACAAACTTCACTATTACAGTATTATCAAATAAATTTTTACATGAAACAAATAATGTTTATTTGAAATAACTAAACTGTATTTCAAACAAATATCATTTAATTGACTCGAATAAAAATTATTTGGTTCAAGTAAATATTTATTTGATAATAGACAAGTAACCGATTATTTATTGAATAAAATAAATTTTTTTTCAGTGCATAGAATATAAATGTGTCTAACTAATACTGACCTTTGCTACTTTTTATTATACGGGAAAACCAAGAATTAGAGTAAATGTCCCTATTACCGAAGTTTTAATTGCTTTTCAAATTAATAAAATTTTGTGACAATAATAAAAAACTAATATAAAATTTTTAATGTAATATTTCATTTTCTGTTAATTAATTGAGATATTTTTGTAATATATCTTAAACCTAAATTTATTTGTTAAATAAATTAATGAAATTATTCTGTCACGATTTCGTGAAAAATCAATTGTTTTCTTACACGAAAACAGTTAAGAAAACGCCGTTTTAACATATCATTCTTTTTAACTGTATTTTAATCTTTTTAAATGCAAACATTTTTATAATATTACAAATATTGTATATTACGTTTATAAAATAAATAGATTTAATTAGTCGGAAATCAGTTCTAATTTTTTACAATTGTCCCGATTACCGATGCACTAGCAGCAGCTTCAACGCGTTCATTTAACATTTCATGTCAATCGTTATTTAGGGGCCATCCAAAAATTACGATGCACTATTTTTCATCATTTTCAAATCCACCTAGCCTTCCCCATGTTGCACATTTTGCATACATTAGCGCCATTTTTTCTATTGAACGTTGCAAATCGTTGATCCCCTCCCCACCCCTTCAAGTGCAAAGTAATTTATGGATGGCCCCAATCTATGCTTATTTGTGCTTACTGTTGAAAAACAGATAATTTCTCGTTCTAAGTTCCATTAGGTGAGTTTTTAGTTGTCACTGCGCATAGTGTCTACCTGAAAATTCGCACTTAGGATCATGTTTATTACTGTAAGCGAGACGCAGCTTTCAGGTATGAATCCTCAAGTTAGTCAGGATTGAACCTTCAACAGGAAAACTGCGTTTTCTCGGTCCAATGCTTTAACACAATTTTGTATTCTCTTTATACTTAATAAATTTTATCATTCTTTAATTAAAGTGTGTCTTTAATTTTGGTAAAAACCCAACAGGTTATGCGCCCAGCACGCTTCCACTGCGCGGCGGTAATTTGTTAAGTGCAAGTTTATAAGAGAAAATACATAAAGCAAGTGTTTAAGTGAACAGTTATTTTATTTGGTGAAAGTGTAGAAAAAAATTGACAGCCAAATCCAAGTAGAGGAAGACACCTGTTACCAACAAAAAGCCATCCAAAATCATAAAAAAGTTCCCAAAAAAATTCAATTTTTCTTAGGAAGACGATTTCAATGCAATTTCTTGTAGAACATACACCTAAAAGTGTAGAAAAAAATTGACAGCCAAAAACAAGTGGAGGAAGACCCCTGTTACCACCAAAAAGTCATCCAACCCATAAATCCAAAAAAATAAAAAAGTTCCCAAAAAATTTCAATTTTCCTTAGGCGGACTATTTTATTGCAATTTCTTGCACAAAATACACCTAAAAGTGTAGAAAAAAATCGACAGCCAAATCCGAGTAGAAGAAGACACCTATTACCACCAAAAAGTCATCCAACACATAAATCCAAAAAAATAAAAAAGGTCCCAAAAAAATTCAATTTTTCTTAGACTGACTATTTTATTGCAATTTCTTGCACAAAATACACCTAAAAGTGTAGAAAAAAATCGACAGCCAAATCCGAGTAGAAGAAGACACCTATTACCACCAAAAAGTCATCCAACACATAAATCCAAAAAAATAAAAAAGGTCCCAAAAAAATTCAATTTTTCTTAGACTGACTATTTTATTGCAATTTCTTGCACAAAATACACCTAAAAGTGTAGAAAAAAATCGACAGCCAAATCCGAGTAGAGGAAGACACCTATTACCACCAAAAAGTCATCCAACCCATAAATCCAAAAAAATAAAAAAGTTCCCAAAAAAATTCAATTTTTCTTCAGCGGACTATTTTATTGCAATTTCTTGCACAAAATACACCTAAAAGTGTAGAAAAAAATCGAAAGCCAAATCCGAGTAGAGGAAGACACCTATTACCACCAAAAAGTCATCCAACCCATAAATCCAAAAAAATAAAAAAGTTCCCAAAAAAATTCAATTTTTCTTCGGCGGACTATTTTATTGCGATTTCTTGCACAAAATACACCTAAAACTGTAGAAAAAAATCGAAAGCCAAATCCGAGTAGAGGAAGACACCTATTACCACCAAAAAGTCATCCAACCCATAAATCCAAAAAAATAAAAAAGTTCCCAAAAAAATTCAATTTTTCTTAGGCGGACTATTTTATTGCAATTTCTTGCACAAAATACACCTAAAAGTGTAGAAAAAAATCGACAGCCAAATCCGAGTAGAGGAAGACACCTATTACCACCAAAAAGTCATCCAACCCATAAATCCAAAAAAATAAAAAAGGTCCCAAAAAAATTCAATTTTTCTTAGACTGACTATTTTATTGCAATTTCTTGCACAAAATACACCTAAAAGTGTAGAAAGAAATCGACAGCCAAATCCGAGTAGAGGAAGACACCTATTACCACCAAAAAGTCATCCAACCCATAAATCCAAAAAAATGAAAAAGTTCCCAAAAAAATTCAATTTTTCTTAGGCTGACTATTTTATTGCAATTTCTTGCACAAAATACACCTAAAAGTGTAGAAAAAAATCGAAAGCCAAATCCGAGTAGAGGAAGACACCTATTACCACCAAAAAGTCATCCAACCCATAAATCCAAAAAAATAAAAAAGTTCCCAAAAAAAATTCAATTTTTCTTCGGCGGACTATTTTATTGCAATTTCTTGCACAAAATACACCTAAAAGTGTAGAAAAAAATCGAAAGCCAAATCCGAGTAGAGGAAGACACCTATTACCACCAAAAAGTCATCCAACCCATAAATCCAAAAAAATAAAAAAGTTCCCAAAAAAATTCAATTTTTCTTAGGCGGACTATTTTATTGCAATTTCTTGCACAAAATACACCTAAAAGTGTAGAAAAAAATCGACAGCCAAATCCGAGTAGAAGAAGACACCTATTACCACCAAAAAGTCATCCAACCCATAAATCCAAAAAAATAAAAAAGGTCCCAAAAAAATTCAATTTTTCTTAGACTGACTATTTTATTGCAATTTCTTGCACAAAATACACCTAAAAGTGTAGAAAAAAATCGACAGCCAAATCCGAGTAGAAGAAGACACCTATTACCACCAAAAAGTCATCCAACCCATAAATCCAAAAAAATAAAAAAGGTCCCAAAAAAATTCAATTTTTCTTAGACTGACTATTTTATTGCAATTTCTTGCACAAAATACACCTAAAAGTGTAGAAAGAAATCGACAGCCAAATCCGAGTAGAGGAAGACACCTATTACCACCAAAAAGTCATCCAACCCATAAATCCAAAAAAATAAAAAAGTTCCCAAAAAAATTCAATTTTTCTTAGGCGGACTATTTTATTGCAATTTCTTGCACAAAATACACCTAAAAGTGTAGAAAAAATACGACAGCCAAATCCGAGTTGAGGAAGACACCTATTACCATCAAAAAGTCATCCAACCCATAAATCCAAAAAAATAAAAAAATTCCCAAAAAAATTCAATTTTTCTAGGCGGACTATTTTATTGCAATTTCTTGCACAAAATACACCTAAAAGTGTAGAAAAAATACGACAGCCAAATCCGAGTAGAAGAAGACACCTATTACCACCAAAAAGTCATCCAACCCATAAATCCAAAAAAATAAAAAAGGTCCCAAAAAAATTCAATTTTTCTTAGACTGACTATTTTATTGCAATTTCTTGCACAAAATACACCTAAAAGTGTAGAAAAAAATCGAAAGCCAAATCCGAGTAGAGGAAGACACCTATTACCACCAAAAAGTCATCCAACCCATAAATCCAAAAAAATAAAAAAGTTCCCAAAAAAATTCAATTTTTCTTAGGCGGACTATTTTATTGCAATTTCTTGCACAAAATACACCTAAAAGTGTAGAAAAAAATCGACAGCCAAATCCGAGTAGAAGAAGACACCTATTACCACCAAAAAGTCATCCAACCCATAAATCCAAAAAAATAAAAAAGGTCCCAAAAAAATTCAATTTTTCTTAGACTGACTATTTTATTGCAATTTCTTGCACAAAATACACCTAAAAGTGTAGAAAGAAATCGACAGCCAAATCCGAGTAGAGGAAGACACCTATTACCACCAAAAAGTCATCCAACCCATAAATCCAAAAAAATAAAAAAGTTCCCAAAAAAATTCAATTTTTCTTAGGCGGACTATTTTATTGCAATTTCTTGCACAAAATACACCTAAAAGTGTAGAAAAAAATCGACAGCCAAATCCGAGTAGAAGAAGACACCTATTACCACCAAAAAGTCATCCAACCCATAAATCCAAAAAAATAAAAAAGGTCCCAAAAAAATTCAATTTTTCTTAGACTGACTATTTTATTGCAATTTCTTGCACAAAATACACCTAAAAGTGTAGAAAGAAATCGACAGCCAAATCCGAGTAGAGGAAGACACCTATTACCACCAAAAAGTCATCCAACCCATAAATCCAAAAAAATAAAAAAGTTCCTAAAAAAATTCAATTTTTCTTAGGCTGACTATTTTATTGCAATTTCTTGCACAAAATACACCTAAAAGTGTAGAAAAAATACGACAGCCAAATCCGAGTAGAGGAAGACACCTATTACCACCAAAAAGTCATCCAACCCATAAATCCAAAAAAATAAAAAAATTCCCAAAAAAATTCAATTTTTCTAGGCGGACTATTTTATTGCAATTTCTTGCACAAAATACACCTAAAAGTGTAGAAAAAAATCGACAGCCAAATCCGAGTAGAGGAAGACACCTATTACCACCAAAAAGTCATCCAACCCATAAATCCAAATAAATAAAAAAGGTCCCAAAAAAATTCAATTTTTCTTAGACTGACTATTTTATTGCAATTTCTTGCACAAAATACACCTAAAAGTGTAGAAAGAAATCGACAGCCAAATCCGAGTAGAGGAAGACAGCTATTACCACCAAAAAGTCATCCAACCCATAAATCCAAAAAAATAAAAAAGTTCCCAAAAAAATTCAATTTTTCTTAGGCTGACTATTTTATTGCAATTTCTTGCACAAAATACACCTAAAAGTGTGGAAAAAAATCGAGA